GGTGGCTCACACCTGTAAGCCTAGCATTTTGGGAGGCTGAGGCAAGAGGACTGAGAGAATTGCTTGAGTCCAGGAGTTCAAGCCCCGCCTATGCAACATAGAGAGACTTTGTCTCTACAAAAAAATAAAAATAAAAACAAGAGACCAAAACAACTAACCGGGCATGGCTGTAATGTGCCTGTAGTCCCAGCTACTAGGGAGGCTGAGGTAGAAGGATCTCCAGAGTGTAGGAGGTCAAGGCTGCCCTGAGCCATGATCCGTGCCACTGGACTCTGGCCTGGATGACAGAGTGAGACCTCAACTCAAAAAAAAGATAATGCACAATCTTTTTATTGATTATTCCATAGCTAATGTTTACATTTGATAAATTAAAATGAGCAGTATAAACTCATGTTTTAGAAATATGATGTTAATCATTAAAAGAACTGAAACCCAGAAAGGTTGAATATTGTTGTCTCTGAAAACAAGACTTTAGAAGAGGAAGTATGGGGATGAAAGGGTTATGTGTTCTTATTAGCCTTTCTGTACATTTAATTTTTTAAATCACATGGATATTTTCATTTGCTTTTTAAAAATTCACATTACATGTTTTATATAAGATGTTAGTAAATGTATTATGATGAGTAAACTGTGATGTCATGATGTAAATATCTTGGGAAATTTTTATAAAAAATGAACCTAAATAAACCATGTAGATGAGGATAAAATGAATAATCTGGAAAGTGAATCCTGCTAACATTTTAAAAATATGTAAAATGCAGAGCTGGGCGCAGTGTCTCATGCTTGCAATCCCAGGAGGCAGAGGCAAGAGGATTGCCTAAGTCAGGGGTTTGAGACCAGCCTGGGCAACTTGGCAGACCTCATCTCTACAATAAATAAAAAAATTATCCGGATGTGGTGGCACGCACCTATGGTTCCAGCTACTTGGAAGGCTGAGGCAGAAGGATCACCTGAGCCCAGCAAGTCGAGCTGCAGTGGGCAACAGAGTAAGGTTCCAACTCAAAGAAAAAAAAAAAGTAAAATTCAGAAATTATGACAGTTATTATTTATGGTTCTAGGTATGTAGAACCATAATTCTTCATATATCTTTCCTTATATTGGCAGTAATCAGGGTTAATAATAAACAAATACCCAGGAGACTCTTGTAAATGACTTTCCCTTGCTGATTTTCAGGATTAGTTAATCTCTCTAGTTCCCTAGGCAAAATCCACTGAATGATGGCTAATGCACATTCAGTGCCTAAGGCTAGTCAGTCACTTCCTTTTCAGCATGTCCTTGAACCTCTGTTCAAGTGATCATAAAGAGTCAGTAACGGTGGGCGCTAAACCTGTTTGTGGTCGTTGCTATTGTAATTATAAAATCTAATTAACTATAGCATGCAAAAAAAGTGGTCTCGGTTACATATTAAAATATTAGCAATGGATCTATATTTTATATTCTAAATTAAAATAAAATGTTTAAGTTATACACGTATAGTCTTTTTTTTTTTTTTTTGAGTTGGGAGTCCTACTTTGTCACCCAGACTGGAGTGCAGTGGCCGCTCCCGGCCACCGCAGCCTCAACCTGCTGGGCTCCCGTGATCCTTCCGCCTCAGCTTTCCAAGTAGCTGGAACTATAGGCGCGCGCTACCACGCCTGGCTAATTTTTTTATTTATTGTAGAGATGAATCTTGCCAAGTTTCCCAGGCGGGTCTCGAACCCGCAGGCTCAGGCAATCCACTCACCTCGGCCTCTCAAAGCGCGGGATTACAGGCTGAGCCACGAGGTTTTTATGATGTGGCCTTAATTGACTTTATGATAACTGCTAGCCCTTATCATGTTCAATACATAATTTCTTCTGCACTAAAACCTCTGAAACAAAGAATATATTATCTTCTCTACTGTCTCCATATATAAAGTTTTACATAATATCAGTGATGAAATTACTTTCGCATTTTATCATTTTGAATCCTACAATTGGCTTGAATTTGGGATCTGTAGAAGCAGATATAAAATTATGAGTGCTAATTTGAATTTCTATGAAGTAATTGTTAAGTATACAAATTAAACCTACCTCAGTGGTATCCTTAAGATAAAGATAAGATCTAATCGATCTTGATTTTAGACTTTCAGCTCCTGGCTCTAAGAAAACAAATTAAAACATAAATGATCTTTTCATTCTCTTAAACAATTTCTAATTAAACCAATAAACCATTTTCTTCTAGCAGTAAAATTTTTAGAAACATATTTTAATCTTATGTGCTTACATATTCATTACTTTTACATTTTTAGAATAAATTATTCTATTTTATTCTAGAATAATTTTCTGTTATCTATATTAACAGAATATTACTTTCAATCATTTACTATTATACAATAAAACTGTATCTTCTTGGAAAATAATGGATTTCTAAATAAAACAGAATCATATGTGCTATTCAAAAAATTATTCGATTAATTCCCCTGAAAAGAGAAATATTCTTCTCAACCTACATTCTCCTGTCCCCAATATGAGTTTATTTACCAGAATTATTATCTAATGGATTTTCATAAAGTATAATGTAGGGGTCAAGCATACAGACATTTTGAGTTGGGGGTCTTGCTTTATTATCCAGGCTAGAGTGCTATGGCACAATCGTGGCTCTCACTGCAGGCTCCAACTCGTGGGCTCAAGGGATGATCTTCCCACTTCAGCCTCCCAAAGTACTGGGATCAGACTTTGGATTTAGATAGGCTGGGTCCAAATTGCACCTCTTTTTTTGAGAGTTACGTAGTCTTAGGAAAGTTACTTAACCTCTCTGAGTCTTACTTTCCTTATTTGTTAACTGGAAATAACAGCATTCATAAAAAGTGCTGTGAGCATTAAATGAGATAATAGATGTAACAAACTTAATACAGAATCTGGTAATCATTCCGTCATCTGTTGACCACATACTCGTGGACTCTGAAACTGTGACTCTTGCCCAGTGAGGCATACATTTTAGTGGGCAATGTGGAAAATAAACCAAACTCCAAAATAACGAATAACTGTATATTAAAATACATTTTGGTGAGGAAGCTTCATAAAGGGGGTATGATTTTGATAGGTTAGTCAGGGGAGACCTCTCTGAGCAGATGTCACTTCACTGAAACCTGCAGTGAGGAGTAAGCTGTGTGGACGGTGTCAGTGTGTATAGGCAGAGGCAAAAGCATACTTCTCTGAGGCTATCGGGCAGCTGTACTGAAAGGGGACTAGGGAAGATGTAGTTTAATGAAGGGCAAGGAGGTAGGGAGTGAGGCTGAATGTACAGGCAAAAATAACAACACACAGAGTCTTGGTAACGAGTACAAGTTTCATAATGTGGTGAGAAGCCGTGAAGGGGCTTTAATCTGGAGATGACCAACCTCCACTGAAAATATCACTATAAGGCCAGATGCAGTGGCTCACACCTGTAATCCCACAACTTTGGGAGGTCGAGGTGGGAGGATTGCTTGAGTTCAGGAGTTCAAGGCCAGCCTAGGCAACATAGTGAGACCTCACCTCTACAAAAAAATCAAACACTTAGCCAGGCCTGATGGTGTAGTCCGATTACACCTGTAGTCCCAGCTACTTGGGAGACTGAGGCGGAAGGATCTCCTGAGCCCTGGAGGTCGAGGCTGCAGTGAGCCATGATCATGCCACTGCACTCCAGCCTGGGTGACAGAGTGAGACTCCAACTTAAAAAAAAAATCACTATATCATTTAAGGAGAAAAAACAGATTCAAGAGTTCTGCTGCCATTATAGAAGGCCAGGAAATTAGTGTCAGCCCTCCTGCTGAAAGCATCTAAAAAAGCTGGATGAAATATTTTTAAAAGGCGAAAGAGCACCATAGGGCTAAAGATGGCAAGCGACTTCTGGTCCTAAACCTAGAAGAAGGTAAGAACCTAGGTATGTAAGCCCAGCATGCAAAGCCACTGAGAGTATTTGTGAAGGGAAAGGAAGAGCAGGTTTTAGAAGCTTCAAGGGTTGAGAGCCACAAAAGTCAAAAGTCGACCAAATTGCAAAGGTGGGGTATTTGATCTGTTCTCTCCCTCCCCTGCCTGCCAAAAACGTCACACACATGCATTCTACCCAGGATCCCAAAGAGTTACAACCTTAGGGTAAGAGTAAACCAGAACAGACAAACTTGCACCTAGACCTGAGGCCAGTGCTTCTCCCACCTGGGTGTTCCAGGAACACTGAAGCCTTGAATATGATAAGGATGGAAAATTTGACAAGTACTGCCTCCAGATCCCTGGTTTAAATGGTAAAAATAAAAATAAAAAATTCGCTCTGGAATACAGAGTTCTCATCCTAGTTCTAGTTCTCAAATGGTTCCTATAAATAATTTTCCCAATAGTGTCCAGCATAGAGCTAATAAGGAAATATAACACTATAAAAGTGAACTATAAGAAATAACAGTGTGTATAAATAATTGTCTTGAGAAATTAGGTTATGAAGCCTCACAGAGAAATGAGGCGACGTGGGGCAATGAAGAGTGAGGGAACTTCAGTCGAGGCTAATGAGAACGGCAATTCAGCGATTGTTCGCTAATACCAGAGAAAGAAAAAGAAATACAACACTCAAATTCTCTAAGCATCTATAATGCTAGTTCCTAGCTCATAGATTCCTAAAATTTCTAACCCTGAAAGTAAATAAGTTTCCTTTTTTTCTTTCAAAGTAAATAAGTGTCTACTAAGTAAGCTGTTCATACTTGATTTTTAAAAAAACAATAACAAGGAAACTCTTAGCATTGAGCTGAAAGAAACTCAAGAGATTTTCCTTCTAGAAGAAAAACCAAATAATCCTATAAACATTAAATATATTCTTGTTTTGTGAATTGCATAAGTTGTCCATTCTGATATTTAACATCTCTTCTTCTTAGTAAATTATTCATTTTAGTTCATGCAAATACTTTCGACAAATACATTACATTATCAAGAACTTTTAAGGCACACAGTAATAAGTAATAAAATAAATAAAAGCACGCATTAATAAATCAAAGAAGTAAATATGTTAAATATTGACTTACTTTTTTGTTTCTTTATATTTATTTGAACAAAGTGGGGTTTTAAATTTGACTTTTTAAAATCACTCATTCTAGGTTCAGGCTCGCATTTGAAAGAGAGATGCCTGGAAGAAATAGAAATTAATCTTAATTAAAATAATTAGAAAATTTACAAAACTCTCAGAAATAAATTTGGAGAATTGTGGTGAAGTCTCAGTTATATAGATGTAGGTGTTGTGTTAATACTATTATAGTATAAAGTATAAAAGATTGGAACTGATTGAGCAGGTCCTGAAAATATGAATTTTAACTATTTGAAGTGGAGGGAGACAGAAAAGTAGATTAACGACTAAGAGAAAAGATGGTTCCGGTGTCCAGTGAGTAAGAACTGTTGTCTTCTTTCCTCTCCTTTCCCCCTTTCTCCCATTCAGGGAGTGTGTTGGCAAATGTTTAATAACCTTTTCTCTGAGTATAGTTCCAACACAAAATTTCACTCATTCATCAATGACATAAGCAACTTCTTTGCAGAACCAGATAATAATTTCTATGTTCTCACGAATCGGTGCTATTTAAAGTATAATGGCTAAAGGCAAGACATACTTTTAAGTTTAATTTCCATCATTAGCATTTTCTTCCTCACTTTTTTTATAACTCAAGCCCTGGTTTGTAGCATTTGGTAATTTCTGTGGTGTAAATACTCCCATTGCCAATTTTTAGCTACCAATGTGACATTCACTGAACGTGGAATTGGGAAAAGATGTGTAGTAGCATGATGTTATACCGTATTTCCACCATATAGATATAATAGATGCAAATGACTTCAAGTCCATGGATAATGTTAAAATTTGGTAAAATAAGTAGGAATGGATGAGTTTTGAATATTATCTTTATTTTTAGTATGTCACTAAGTTTACAAAATTTAATTTTCAATAATTGGTATTTCATCCCTATCTCACAAAATTACTGAAAATTCAACAAGCAGCTCTAAGGAGCTGGCAGGAGCCAGTTTTAGCATACCTCTGTTTCCGTATGAGAGGAAAAAGAGATTAGAAGAAGAAAGAAGGTATGCTAGAAGAAGACCGTATCAGTCTCCCTCTTTCAGGGAAGGGGACAAGGAAGAATAAAGCTGTTGCCCTTATTTTTCTCCATTTCAGCTCCTCCAGTGTTGCTAGACTGGCTTGCGTGGGCAAGGGAAAGCCTTAACTAGACGTGGGATCAAAATCTTAGTTAGACAGACTTTTAGTAACTAAAGTGATCAGGATGAAACTAGAGAAATATAAAACTGTTTTGGGCTGGGTGCGGTGGCTCAGTCTGTGATCCCAGCACTTTGGGAGGCCAAGGCGAGATGATTACCTGAGCCCAGGGCTTCGAGACCAGCCTGGGCAACTTGGTGAGACCTCATCTCTACAATAAATCACAAAAACTAGCCAGGCGTGGTGGCGTGCGTCTGTACTTCTGGCTACTTAGAAGGTTGAGACAGAAGGATTGAGAGTTCAGCAGGTCGAGGCTGCGGTAGCCGTGAGCATGAGCATGAGCGTGCCACTGCACTCCAGCCTACGTGACAAAAGCGAGACTCCAACTCAAAATTAAAATTAAAATTAAAATTAAACTGTTTTATGTTTCTATGTCCCTGAGTTGAGAATAGTCAATGAAATAGTTAAACCAATATTTTGCTTTAGATTCCTAAAAAAAAAAAAAAATCTATATTTGTTTTATATTCTTGTGCTCAGACTTTAGGATCAAATCCACCTTTGTAAAAAAGAACTATGAACTGTTCTAACTTTGTCTGTGCTCAATAACTATTTAAACAGTTCTTTGAAACTACAAAGAAACTCACCCTTGACATAGCTTCAAAGTGGTGCTTTTGTAAAAGAGTTATTTGACTCCGCAAATTGTTCTACAGTTATTGATCTATTCATATTTTCTTTTTTGTTGAGATTTTTCCCATTCATATTTTCCCCAAAGATTATCCATTATTACAGTCATGTTTCAAAGCAGTGTAGTTATACAAAGTATTCATTATAATTATTTTAATTTCTTTGATATCCATGGTTATAGCTTCTTTCTCATTACCAATATTGTACCTTTCTGTTGCCTTTTTTCCTCTTCAGTATCTCAAACTGTGGTCATGTTAACATTCTCTTGGGAGGTGTTTGACGTGTTAAGTTTCCTGTGTGCTCCTAAAGATTCAGTGTGCTGGTGAAATGAAAGCCAATGTTTGGTGGAAGTACTGAAAGATGACAACTTTTCTTTTCTTAGTCCTTCAACAAATGCATACTTAACATGATATATAAGCAATTTATTGAACTAAGAACAAGTTGCTATACATTTGACTTATAAGATTAATTATACACAAATCCTGTCCTCAATTGATCTTGGCTTTTCTAGTTTATATAATCTCCTCTCATAGTTTTTAAAGCTTTGTGTTACTACATGGATTAATTTTGTGAATTTGGTTGAGGTATAACTAAATCATATGTCCTGCTATCTAGAAACTGATAGACTTGTAGGATAGATTGAACGGGTATAACAGTTTCCTTCTAGGCTGACAGGGACCTGGACAAGGGTGTTTTATAACTTACTGAGGAATAAGCCACAATACGTTTGCCACTCAGTTTTCAAGGAGGGTCCAAGTATCTTGTCTTTATACACCTAAGCTTTTTCTCTGGAAATAGATGTTAGGAATTGTTAAAGGTCTGAGATTTGACCCTACTTAGAAGCTAACAAGTTAGCCTACCACAGTTTTTTGCTGCCGGCCGAAGACATGAGACTCCTGGATCAGAGACGAAGGACTATTTATTACTCAGCAATAGGAGCAGCCAGATTAACAGCCCCTGCTCCAGTTCTCTGAGACCCAATTCCACATGGCAATGGGCAGAGGGCCAGGTGACGTCTGCATGTGCAGTAGGTTATGTTACAGAAATGGAACTCTCAGTCTAAGAGACTCAAATCTTTCACAATATACAGCAAGCATAATGTACACCTGATCCCAGGAGGCTCAGGCTGTGATGAGCCATGATTGTGCCACTGCACTCCAGCATGGGTGACAGAGTGAGACTCCAACTCAAAAAATAAATAAATAAATAAAGCAAATAAATAAATAAAATATATATTTTCTGTAATAGGATATTCAGTTTGGGATTTTTTATTGGGATCTTTATTTTCTTCATATTTAATTTTAATTTAAATAAAATACATTTCCAAGTAACTTCATCAGAAAAAAGACATAGGGAGATGACTTTTTAAAGCCTTTCATGCCCCAAATCTCTTTTGTTCTCACATGTAAATGATAATTCATACAGAGAATTCTTACATTGCTATTCTGTTCAAAAGCTGAAAATAATTTACTAGCCTCAGAGATGCGGATGAGATACATAAAATTGATTTATTTCCTTTCCTCTGTAATTAACCTGTTTTTTCTCCCTTGTAATTAAGTAATTCTACTGAAAATTGAGTATTTGGCAACCATTTTGATCTGAAATTCAAGTCTGTCTTCAAAATTTTTTTCTAACATTTCTCTGATTACTTCCTAATCATCTGTTTCTCTCTTTTCTGACTTACTTAAGTATATGTTTACTTCGGGATACTGTTGAGTATCCTGAAACTATATTATGTGTCTCTTTCCAACATGAATTCAATTTTTTTTTGTATTTTTGCCTCTATTTGATCTTCTAGGTTATCAATCTAGTTTTCATCTGTTTGATTTCTCTATTAGTTTTTTACTCCGAAATGCTTATTGTTTGAATCCCCCTTTCCCCTATTATTTCTGTCCTTAAGAGACACACTTTCTAAAGTTTCCTTGTTCTTCCCATTAAACCAGCCCCACGCAGAAGCCACCTGTTCTGTTTGGTTCAACTCTTCCTTCAAGGAAGAGTCCCCTGAAATGGTCTGTGATTTCTCTTGGACCACTCCTTCCCACAAGTATGGGCTCCTTCCGCACCTCAGATGCTCAAGCTACTTGGTACTCAGCTAATATCAGGCAGTGAGAGATGAGATTGTTTCGCATGAATCAGTGGCAAACAGGCCATCACACCAGAATCTCTTGATCGAGGGTGAGAAATGCCTGCAGTGGTGTCTCTCAAACTCCTAGCTGCTTATTAGACTCACATGGCGTACTTTCAAAGAATTCCTACACCCAGACATTTCCACACCCGTTAAATCATGATCTCTAAGGTTGAGGGACCCACTGTGTTTTTTTTAAAGGCTCTCAAATGATTCTAATGAACAGCCCTGCTGAGAAGCCCTGCTCTGGAGTCTCTGGTTCTCCAGGTATGAACAAGTGGGAGTGCCCTTCCGGCTTCAGAGAAGAGGAATGTGTGCTCCCATGCCTAACCATGTAAGTTCGTTCACAGGCCTGGCATATATTGTTACTTGCGTACATCCTCAACAAGTGGTGGTGCTTTTGTGCACTTTACAATACTGTATAGAGTACAGTACAGTATCTATTTCAAGCCCAGGATGTCCGGAAGCAAGCATAAAAGCAGCGGTGATGCAGCTGGTACAGTACTGTGTTAGTGGGGTACCTAGGTTAACTTTGCTGGACTTACGAACACTCTCTCAGAAAGGAACTTGTTTGCATGCAGGGGACTTACTGTAGAGAAGTACTCACAGGCTTTGGTGGAGGTGAGGCCCTTAACTTCCCAGAATCTGTGTGGGCTTAGAGGAACCTGTGTCCACGTAACTGAGGAATTGTGAGGTTTGTAGCAAACCAGGCATGAAAATGTCTCCATCTTCTCCATCCTTCCTGTTCCTGTCTCACCCCACCACACTTAACCATTTAGTCACATTTTACCCAGAGTTGGAGAAATGCTTGGCTTATGTAAACATGGCTTAGCTGTACCTCATTATATTACTAAGATCTTGTTATCTTCTTTTTAATAATTAGAGTAAATGATTGTATATTACAAAAATAAAGCTTATATTGTTGTTATTGGTCTTTTTTTTAGTTTGTTGTGAGTGCCTTCTACATGTTGGGGAATTATAAACTTTTCAAATATATTAACCCATTTCATTCTCACAAAACCCTATGGAATATACAATGTTATCATCCTCACTGTAAAGACAAGGACACTGGGCACAGAGAAGGGATACAACTTGTTCAGAGTCACAGAAGCCAAGAGGAAGCAAAACCTGGCAACTGATCTATAAGCCCCAGCCTCTTCATCTCTGGGCCAGGCTAACAGTACACAGAGTATATGACAGACGTTGAATTTAAGAAAGAAGGGATTTGACAAATTAAATTTCACTATAGGCTGCAACTCTATTCTCTATGCTTAATTATCTTTTCTGCATGTAAGTGTATCCTTCTGTCCAAAAAATGGATTAAATCCATACAATATAACCAATATAACCAGCCTATCACTGTTGACATGGGGTAGAAGCTTTCTGCCTTATGCTCCTACTAAGCAATCCTTCTGGCATAACCAGAAATCGCACCTGCCAGATGGGTTGCTTCTTGGAAGAGGCAGGCTCTGGCGGTCCTATAAACTCTAGTAGAACGTCAGGCCCGCTGAGGAGCCTTCATGATTCGTAATTACCTTCTTTGCTACTTAATGGAGTTTCTAAAATCTAGTGCTGGGTGTGCACTGCCCTATTTAAACCCTCCGGTGACCCTCGTTGCCTTAGCCGTGGTTCAAAATTCTTGAGCTGGCTTATAAGACCTTTGGTGAGCTGACCTCCACTCATCTCCAGCCTCATTTCGCATCAGTCATTCTCCAGGCTTTACTCCACAGTGAAGTCCAGCCACGCTTTGGTTCCTTAAACGAGCCCGGTTTTCTTTTGCCTCTGGCCAATGCTCTGTCCATATCACTGCCGCGACTTGGAACCTTGTTGCCTTTTCCCTAGCCATTTGGGTCTCACCTGAAGTACCACCTCCTCTGGAAACTTCTGCTGACACCCACACTGGAAATCTCTCTGCAGCAACAAGCATTCGCCTGTTCGCTTTTCTGACTCTCATTGAACTTGAACAGCACGGGTGTGTTTCACGGTTGCTGTTGCCTCCAGGGTACAGAAGCCCCTCAACAAAGACGTGTAGAATAAAATCAATAAGCGAAAATTACAATAGTATGTGATAGTGGGGCTATCGTTAATAAAGATAAGCTGAAGAAATCTGCAAGGATGTTTTACTGAAACCGGGTTAAGGGCCCTGGAAACAATCAAACGTGTGGCAGAAGGAGAATTATTCAAGTATGAGTGGAATCCTAGACAGCCTCATCCCCCAGGATCCGTGAGGGTTGGTTCCAGACCCCCGGGGACACCGGAATCTGGCGCAGACTCAAGTTCTACAGTCAGTCCTTCAGAGCCCGTGCATGTGAGAAGCCTGCCCTCCACACATACGTGGGTTTCAAATCCTGCAAATGCCATATTTTGATCTGTTTGACTGCAGATGCTAAACTGGTTGATACTAAGGCCTGACTGTGTAGATTGAAAAAATTTGCATGTAAGTGAAACTGAGTAGTTCAAACTGTTGTTGTCCAAAGGTGAACTGTATTGCATTAAATGGAAATTTGGGTTCCACTTCTGGAAATAGAATCTGGTGATTTGGACTAGCTATTCCCCAAGAAAGCTAGAAAAGCTGGAAAAAATATTTAAAACATTTGTTTGAATACCCCTTAGAGCTCCCAGAACAGTAAGGCCTCGAGAGGCCAGGAGCTGGACGCAGAGTGAAAGCTCAGGTAGGTCAGGCGTTTGGAGCACCTTTTTGTCTATTCCAAATCAGCAGCAGAGAGGTCAGAAAGCTGTGTGGCATTTTGGACACACTTTCAGGGCTGTGGGGAACAAAATACCAGTTCAGGGCCCACTGAAGAAGGGTTCTGGAACAGCCTTCAGTTTGGGAGAGAATGCCAAAGGTCTGCAGTTCATCTCCTGTAAGTAATGGAGGAAAATACATGGACAAGCCCGCAAAAGAGCTGAAGTCCTGCACTGATCTCTACTCCGACTGAGGGCTGCTGAGGCCCCAAGCCTCACCATCTGCCAAGAGCAAGACACATCCTCTCTGGAGAAGACATCATCTAGAGCTTCAGATTATATCTACACTTTACAAATGCATTTTCGAGGTAGTTCTCAATAAAAAAAAAAAATTGCCAGGCATGTGAGGAGAAAGACAATGTGCTTCTAAACCAATGAAAACACAACAGGTAGCAGAAACAGGCCCAGAGGGGAGTACATAAATCGGCAATGCTTAACACTGTCAGAGAATTAAACAGTCATTTACAACACATGCTACATCGCTTCATTCTTGCATAAATTGATTGAGTTCTTATATTTTTTAAGTATAGCAGGAAATTAACACGTTTTGCTATCTTAAAGTGCCTCTTTGTCTATACATTTTAGACGGTGGCTTTGCCTCTGGCCTCAAACTTGCCAGCCAACCAGGCTAATGCTTAATTCAAAAGGAACATTAGTTAGTTATTGGTGGGTTATACTGTCACCAACAAAGGATAGACAATGCCTCTATAAACTATTTAGGAAACGGTCTTATCAGACAGGAAAGGAGTTGCAATAGTATCATCCTGGAAAGTCCTGCTATAAAAAAACTGCACACTGCGTTGAAATGTGTCATTAGCCATATATCATTACATCATAATGTATACATATAAAATAATATATAATAGATATTACTTTTCCCTTCTCCACATTCTCAACTTCCACTTACGCAATGTTTTCTGTGTATTAAAATATTTCATTTTAATATAGATAGCTCTATAAATGATTTTGAAGTATAGTTATTGGTTGTATCTACATAAAAATAAAGTAGTCATATAAGAGGTGTTTGAGAAAACTAAATTATGTAAACCACTCATAAGTGCTTATTTGTGCAGAAACAAATTCCTTTTTCTCCTTATGGTTCCACAGCAGAAACATGTTCTGGTATCCCAAATCATAAATAACAAAGATCTGAGGAGCTGTATTTTGGGCCACAATCAGAATACTTACAAGCAAAATGATAAGTATCAACTACAATAAACTATGACTGTCCAAATAATGTTTTGCTTTAGATTCAGACATGTTTGTTCAACTCTTCTAGACAAATTAGCGGAATCCCTCACAGTCCATGGCCTGAACGTGCCCAATCTGGTCTGAATGCCTCATGGACAGCTAAAACCAGATATATCCAAAATGAAACTCTAATTCTCGAATGCATCGCCATCTGCTTTTCCTTACATGTTCTCCACCTAATACCAAGCACTGCACTGCACCTCGTCACCAAGTCCGAAAGCCCGCAGTCATTCTGTTAATCCAGGCACAATCATGATAAGGAACACAGTCATGATAAGGAGCCCTGTGACCAGACCACAAGGGTTTGAATCCAGCCTCTGACACTCATTAGCTGTGTGACCCTAGACAAGTTATTTAATCTTCACCAGGCCTGGATTTTTTTTTTTTTTTTTGGTCTGTAAAACTGCACTTAACACACTGGGCTGCCATGCAAAATAAATGAGATAAGGACAGACTGGCAGAATCCACATGGTCTCCAATGTCCAACTGATTTGAAATTCGGTTGGTTCTGCATCTTAGTGCTTCTTTCTTCTGGGGATTCTCCTCTACACTTCTGCTGTCTGGAAAAATGTATAGCATTACACAGCACCCAGTGAAAGACCAAGTGTGACATATTCAGGCTATCCCTTGTAAGTGCATGGAAAAACTGCTCTACTTAGTTTTCTTGGCAGGCTTTTTCTTGAAGTGTATCAGTTCAAGTTTGGAATAAATCTTGATATTAATTTTGGGGGAAAAAAAAACCAAGTTTAAGAACATCCTTTCTTTAAAAATTCAGAATTGCTATTACCATTTACATGAGAGAAATATTATACATAATATTCTATAAACTAGAAATATTCAGAATGCTAACTAGCATATGTTAATAACCACTGATAAAATGTGCTGTATAACAAAGGATTCATCTAATATACATTGCATGATGTAAGACAAATGTTAAGTGATGTATAAAGTTTGAGGTAGCCATGAGATTACTTTTTTGATTTTGTGGTGCCACACGGTTTGTCTTCTGTGATCTTTGATGCTGCCTTAGATGTGGGGGTAACAGCCTCTTCAAATTCCAGTTGAAAATCAAATGTCAGGGGTGTCACCAAAGTCTTTTTTCTTCCTTTACTCTGAAGCCTGTTTTTCTGCAGGAAAACAAAGCAAAAACAAAATAAATGAGTACTTTCCATATAGGGTAAATCTTGTGTGGAAAGAATAAAAATTAATCTCACTGTATACACACAGTAGTGGCTGGCAATTTTATTGCAGTCTGGAATCTGGGGCCTCATTTACCAACTTGTTTCATGCCTCTGCTGTGTGGCCTGAACCATTCTTTCGCGGCTATGAAAGAAGGATGTAGAACTAGAGGATTTGAAGGCTCCCTGCTCACTCTCAAAGGAGCATTTGGGGAAAGACCTGCATTCACAGCAAATGCTGAGCCGCAGGGTCCCTGGACTGCGGCAGTGCATCCGTCCAAGCTGCTCCCCTTCCTCTAGCCCGGGGTTGGCCAATCTTCCTCTAGTCCCATGAGCCAGAAGCAGAGTTAAGAAAGTCGTCAGAAAGGGACAGCATTAAATACTTACACAGAGGGACTGGTGAGGAAAAAGGACACAGCTAAGGGCGAGTCAAGGAGCTGAAAGCTTTCTCTAAAAAAGTGAGGGCGCAGCATGAAGGAGTAGAGATGAGAAACCTGAAAGCGAAGTCAAAGGATCCAGGGAATGCCTGCTTCTGCCAATGAGGGACTCACTGCTATGGGAATGAACTCTGGCTCTCCACAAGCAGAAACCCACACACACTGTACGAGAACACCGGTCTTTAGGAATCGGCAAACAGGCAGAACTGGATCCCCGAAAGGATGGGAACCAAGGAGGTCAGCCCTCAGCCCAGCTCCCTCCAGGCAGCTTACAGGCCGAGGTGCAGGGTTTGGGGGAACTGAGATTAAACCTTGAGGCCTTGACTTTGCCGCGTCTAAGAAAAAGATGCACGAGCAATCGCATTCTCGGGCATTCCTCCCAGAGATATGGAAACTTATGTTCATACGAACACCTGTATGCAAATGTTCATAGCAGCTTTATTTTATTTCTTTGGCAGCTTCGTTTTTCACAGCAAAATCCTGAAAACAACCCAAAATGGATGACTGGTTGAAACTTTGTACATCCATGTATTGGAATACTACTCAGCAACCCAACTTTTATATTAGTTTCAATAGTAAAGCTATTGATTTATGCAAAATTCTGGCTAGACCTCTAGGTCCATTATGCTCTTAGTGAAATAAAAAATCAATCTTAAAGTTTTACATACTGAATATACTTATATAACATTCTCAAAATTATAAAATTGAGACTGAGACGAAGAAGGAATCGAACCCAGGCGGTGGTGGAAAGGCTGCGGGAAACAACCGAGCACGTGGAATCCCAACGCTGGTAGCCGGGGCCAACTCCACCGTGTCCCCCCAACATCGGGTACCCTGGAGGTTCCAGTCCAGCCTTTCCTTGCAGCCCCTTTCCTTGTCCTCCAGGACCTCCTCAGGGGTCCCCTCATCCTGTGCCACAGCCAGGGTATCCAGGACGCCAACCTTCAGGTCGCTATCCTCCTCCATACCCCCCGCCTGCTCCTGGCATGCCTCCTGTGAATCCCATGGCTCCTGGCATGCTAGGACCGGGAATGGTGATGGACAAGAAGATGCGGAAGAAAATGAAGAAAGCTGCCGGCGCGGTGGCTCATGCCTATGATCCCCGCACTTTGGAGGCTGAGGTGAGAGGACTGCCTGAGCCCACAGGTTCAAGACCAGCCTGGGCAACTTGGCAAGACCTCATCTCTACAATAAATAGATTTTTAAAAAAATTAGCTGGGCATGGTGGTGCATGCCTGTAGTTCAGCTACTCAGAAGGCTGAGGCGAAAGGATCGCCTGAACTCAGCAGGTCGAGGCTGCAGTGGTCGAGAGCATGCCACTGCTCTCTAGCCTGGGTGACAGAGTGAGACTCAAACTCAAAAAAAAAAGAAAAAGAAAATGAAGAAAGCTCATAAGAAGATGAACTGCAAGCGTGGCAAGCTTCCTCTTCCTCTTCCAGCGGCGACTCTGACCGAAGAAGGGCCTGGACCCTTCCCTCAAGTCTCACCAGTTCTGCACTCCCATCGGGCTTCAGATGCCATGTTGTGCTGGGGGAGATCAGCCCTTGGCGGGGAGCCACGCCACCCCTACCTGAGCCTCACTCTGCGGTTCAGCCCTGACGGGCTAGGGAAACAGGAAGAGGATCGCCATGGCGAGCCAAGGCCGTCGTGCTGCCTAGACGAAACTTATAGCTGATGAGTTCAGCAGGGAGCTGTTTGCTGAGGACGGTGAGACCTTTTGGGCTAAAAGTGAAGACAAGCTTAGGATCTGTAAAATGTGGTTCTAGAAATTTTCTCTTATGATACTTATGGTTGAGGGTTTTCTGGAAAATTTACTTATGAAGAGAAACCTGTACCTTTTTTGTAAATTGGCACACTTGGGTAATTTAGTGACAAAAGCATTGATTGCCCAGCAGGCCTTTTTCTTGGTTGTGCTAACCGCAAGGTTGTTGGGAAGTAGAATCCATTTGGTGAATGAGCCTTTCATTTTTGTTTTTATTTTGATGAGCTTTGATGCTGTTTTGGAACCTGATCTCTACTCTTTAGCTCAATATATTCGGTCAGGTCCTACTTTCCAACTCTCAATCCAAATAAAGCTATTTCACCTTTATTTATAAATAAAAACAATTATAAAATTATAGAGGCTGGGTGTGGTGGCTCACACCTGTCATCCCAGAACTTTGAGAGGCTGAGGCAGGAGAATTCCTTGAGCCCAGAGGTTTGAGACCAGCCTGTGCAACATAGTGAGACCCTGTCTCTATTTATAAATTTAAAAAAATAAAGAAAAATTTAAAAAATTTTAAAATTATGGAGATGGAGAACAGATTAATGATTGCCATGGATAGTGACGGGGAACGGGGGCAGTGGCCCTGAGTGTGCCACTACACTCAAGCCTGTCCTGGGTAACAGAGTGAGACCCCAAGTGGAAAAAATAAAAATAAAAAGTACATACATACATACATACACATATAAATATACATATACATGTGTGTATATATACCTTGTATTGAATGTGATGAGTCTTGTTTGCCTTTTTTAGATAAATTAACTTCTGTCTTAATTATTACTAATTCTGTAAATATGTCAAATGCTCTCTTTCTTTTCCAAGGCCAACAAAATAACTTGTTACACATTTAACATGTTAGTAAGAACTCTGAGATCAGACCTCACATCCATATGCTGAAACACTAACGACCATATTGTTTATGGTGTACTTATTTTTAAAAAAACAAACAAAAAAACCCCCAAGTCACCATATCTGACTTGGCTGTTAAGAATGTTTTTGGTCTTGAGCAGGTTTGAGGCATACTTCAACCTACCCGGCAGCTAGCCCGATGCCATAGTGTGCAGTCAATGAATTCTTCATAGTGTCAGTTTAGATGGGTGACTTTTCAGTTCACAGAATTACTTGCTGCTTGTAAGGTAGTTTATTTTTATTTTATCATTGATATAAATGAAGTAGTCTGCTAAACCAATTCTTGGAATTATAAGAAGATAATTATTTTATACCTGCCAATATTTCATTGACATATTTTGTTGGTTTTTTTTACCAATTTTAAAAATAATTTATTACTTTTAAATTTAGAAAAACTGATAATTAAAAAAAGGTTTTATTAAAAGACACACTCACATTTCTTTTTTAAAAACCAAAACTTAGCCAAGGTTATTCGTTGGATGAACACTATTAGTAATAACTAAAACTATGACCAGGGTCACGGTTGAATATCATAGAATAAATGTAGCAAAATATTAACCATTTTTAAATCTACAAAATATAATGCATTTACCAAGGTCGTTTCTGCCTCCACATTAACGTACCTTTCTGGGGCCTGTGGGGACCCCATGCACAGCTGCCTCCGGTCAGATCAGGGCACCACCCATCATTTTATTTACCCCTTCCGTCCACGCCTCTCTCTCTTTTTTAATGGTGAGTTGTATAATTATTTCATTATATACTACAGTGTAATAATAATAAAGTGCACACTAAATGTTATGCACTTGAAGCCTGAATCACTGCAAAACCATCCCCTCCATTGCCCTCCCCAGTCCGCAGAAAAACTATCTTCAATGAAACCTGTTCCTGATGCCAGAAAGGTGGGGGGCCACCATACGAGCTAAGAAATTAAGACGACATTCACATTTGAAATGTTGACTTCTGAATGACGAAACTGAACTTCCTCTTGAACTTTACAAACCTTGGCTCTGTTGGCTGTGATTATCTTTGCTTGCTTGTCGAAGGCCTCTAACTTCTCCAAGATTTTTTCTGCCATTGTCAGTAAGTAAATTCCTATTTTAGAAGGAGGAAGAAAAAACCAATTCAATGCTAAACATAGAACTCATTATTGAGGCATAAGTTTTCAAATGACCCACTATTGCGTTACCGTTGTAGGTGAATAGTAGAATTGTATAGGTCATAGGACAAGTCATAGAATGATAAATATACCCAGATTTCTTCAGTGGAAAGTCATATGATCAGGACCCCCAGCTGTCTGTGGACCCCATGGATTTTTAAATTTATATTAAAGGTGACTTGGATACAAGATGACCACATGTGAACCAGATGTGACTCATACTTGAAGCAAGACCACGTGGCTTGATTTACATCTATTTCCTTTTTGCTGTGGTATCATCTTAATAAAAGTAAATGCTCATATCTACATAATTAATTACATTCAAATTAAGGTGGTCGATGATCCAAGACTGTTCATATAGCACTTAGCAGGCAATTAGTCACACAGGAAGAGCAGCCAAATTGTCAAGTCCCATTGCCACAAGAGTTCCTATTTTCTGGTTAATTAATAGAGCTGGAAATCTCATCTGGGATCAAGCGGTCCATTGTAGGCTTGGGAAGCTGGACAAGACATCAGAGCCTGGTCTCATTCATTTTCATTTACAGATGAGAAAACTGAAAACCACAAAGTACCCTATCAGTGCAGGACAAATAGCTGGGGCAGAGAGGAGGCAAGAATCCAGGAACCCTAACCCAAATCTCTTCTATTTTATTTATTTTAGAAATTGGGGTGAATGATCATGATGTCAATATATCTTTGCTCAGTGAATTGAAGCTTCCAGTGACATTTAGGTGTAAAAGTTGTATGCCTCCCAGGAAGTTATTGCAATGTGTTTCGTGAACATCAACGTCAACACGAAGGTTCTTTCTAGCTCAAGAAAATTGCTCCTATATTGTGTGCCATTCAATCAATACCACCCATAGACAATAACACACGAGAAGACAAGGATTCAGGGCCCTATGTGGAAGTGCACACGGTTTCAAGCTTGGTTTCTTCCCGTTTTCTACTTCCCTTCACCATACATTGCCCTTAGTGTGAATTCTCGATGCCCTGAAACTGCCTTCTCATCCCAGCTTGCCTTCTGCCATGTTGCTACATCCAGACGCTCCACCTCCAGCCTAGTGGGGTCCAGAATGATAAAGAAATCTTGCAGAAGTTTGGAGTGTGGTGGCTCACACCTGTAATCTCAGCTACTCTGTAGACTGAGGTGGGAAGATCGCTCGAGGCCAGGATTTTGAGAACAGCCTGGACAGCTTAGCAAGACCTCATCTCAAAAATCAAAATGTGTCAGCTGGGCTTAGTGGTGGATGCGTGTATTCCAGCCACCTGGGAGGCTGAGGCTGAGGACCAGGGGATGCAGCCCAGGAGTTGGAGGCTGCAGTGAGCTGTGCTTGCACCACTGTGCCCCAGCCTGGGTAGCAGAATGAGATCACATCTTGTCGCTTAAAAAAAAATTATGCAGAGGAAATTTTGGGTCATGAGAATGCAGGCAGATAGCATGCCTTGTTACAAACCACATAACCTCAGGTTGCAGGCTGGAAAGGGAAGATCCAAAATTGTGGAAGTTGATCATACAAACTGGGTCATTCTTGTCATATCCAATTAAAACGAAGTTGAGAAGCCGGGGGGAAGAGCACTCAGGGCACAGAACATTGCTTCAAAAGTTAATTTTTTTTTTTTTGAGTCAGAATCTCACTGTGTTGCCCAGGCTAGAGTGGCACAGTCATGGCTCACCGCAACATCGACATTCTGGGCTCAGGTGATCCTTCTGCCTCAGCCTTACAAGTAGCTGGAACTACAGGTGCACACCACCACACCTGGCTGATTTATTTATTGTAGGAACGAAGTCTTGCTGAGTTGTCCAGGCTGGTCTTGAACCCCTGGGCTCAGGCAATCCTCTCGCCTCTGCCACCCAATGTGCTGTGATTACAGCTGTGAGTCACCATGCCTGGCTTCAGAAATGTAATTTGAAGTGAGAAAAAATAACAAGCCAATTATTTTCAAGTATTAACAATAGTTTTATGGATACTAAATTGGACAGTTACTGAAATTGACAGAATATTAGCTTTTGCAGCATCATTTTCATATTTTGAAACCAATACTTTGTTTTTCAGTTTGCAAATGTTTCCATGGGTCTTTGGCGATGTGCCAATGGTGCCTAGTGGATGGATGACCTGGGAGCAAGCAGAGGTGAGGAAACACCGTCAATGAGGTTGTCTGCTCTCACCATTGTACTAAGGGCGCCCAGGGCCTAATTTGTGTCTCTTCCAGCAACTGCTGAGAGCAAGGAACGTCAGGACTAAAGTGATGGACTACTCCACATGGACTCATGACGAAGCTCCTCTGTATGACCCTCTGTGTTTCAGTCCTTTATTCCTTTTCCTTTTAATGTATACTCTGGTGTTCCTACTTCATATTTCTACTTCATTGGGCATATATTATCCTTTGGTGATAAGCATTTGTTTGTTCATTTGGTCACTGGCTACTTACACATATTACACGAAAGACATTGTGTTAGGTATTCCGTCAAGTAACTGAGGAAGTTGCACCTGAGAAGAAGAAGACTTCTTTCTTGGTGACTCCCCATCTTCCTAAGTAAAGAACATACCCTTTTCTTTTTCTTTTTCACTAAAAAAACAGAGACCATCAAGTAAGAGATTCTCCAACTCCTACCTCTCACACCAAAGTCTTATGCAGTCTCATCCCTTCTGCAGTTTATTTTATTTATTTATTTATTCATTCATTCATTCATTCATTCATTCATAGTCAGGTCACTCTGTAGCCCAAGCTGGAGTGCAGGGGCATGATCACGGCTCACTGTAGCTGCAACCTCCTGGGCTAAGGCGATCCTTCTACCTCTGCCTCCCAAGTAGCTGGGACTACTCCCAACACTTTGGGAGGCTTAGGAAAGAGGATTACCTGAGTCCAGGAGTTTGAGACCAGCCTGGGTCACTTGGCGAGATCTTGTCTCTACAGTAAGTCCAAAAAATTAGCCAGGTATGGAGGTGCACACCAGTGCTTCCTGCTACTTGGAAGGCTGTGGCAGAAGGATTGCTTGAACCTGGCAGGTCGAGGCTGTGGTAGCTGTGATCGGGCTACTGCACTCTAGCCTGGGCAACACAGTGAGACTCTAACTCCAAAAAAAAAGTAGACATTTTTCTGCTCTTATTTGAATTTTCGTAACTTTTGCCTTTCTCTGGACACTCTCGTCCCTCTCTTGGTTTCCGGGACGACAGTCACATCTTTTTACTTTCTCTGAAGATTTCTGGTGTCTTCATCTTGCTCCTCTTCCTCAACTCTCTCCCTAAGTGCTGGTGTTTCTAAGGGCTTGGCCATCTTCTCATCAATCCATGGGTTCTTCCAGGTGACCTCTAAAACCATGGCCTCATCTGCTACCATCTGCTTCTAAACAAAATCTCTCTTCTGAGTTTCAAATCTGTATACCCAGCTCAACCGATATTTCTCACAGGTGCCCAAGTAAGTGGGCTTAAGAGTAAACTTGTCCCTAGCCTTCCTGGCTCCCAGCCAGAAGTTTCCTGTCACATTGGTATTTCCCTTTGAGCTCAGTAACGAGGAGCCGGTGGTTCTCAATCCTGGTCACATGCAGAATAAACTCAGAACCTTCCAAGAATACAGATTCCTGGCTGCCACTCCAAACCCTCCAAATCAGAATTTACAGAGGTGAAGGTTGGGAATCTATTTTTTTTTTTTAAAGTTGGAGTTTCACTCTGTCACCCAGACTGGAGTGCAGTGGCCGCTCCCGGCCACCGCAGCGTCGGCCTGCTGGGTTCCAGCGATCCTTCCGCCTCAGCCTTCCGAGTAGCCGGAATTACAGGCATGCGCCACCACACCCGGCTGATTTTTTGATTTATTGTAGAGATGAGGTCTCGCTGCCCAGGCGGGTCTCGAACCCGTGGGTTTAAGCAATTCACTCACCTCAGCCTCCCAAAGGCGCGGGATTACAGGCTGAGCCACCGAGCCCGGCAGGAAATCTTTCTTTTTTAAACAGGTGTAGCAATTTATTTTCTCTATCTTCGTTCCAATGCCACTGTCTCTAAAATTTTGGTTTGATATAATTAACTTTGAAATAAAACAATTCAAATATACTTTATTTTTTAAGAGAAGTTTTAAGTTCACAGGACAATTGAGTGGAAGGGTCAAAAGTTTCCTTACAATCTCTGTCCTCACACATGCCCAGTCTTCTCCATTATCAACATATTCCACTATGGTGGTACATTTGTGACAGTTAATGAACCTACATTGACATCTCATCATCACCATCATCCAAAGTCCATCATCTGCATAGGGTTTAAGCTAAGTGTTGTGTGTTCACGTTCTTGGACAAATGTATGAGATGTAGCTTCCATTATAGATTAATATAGAGTAACTTCACTGCCCTAAAAATCCTCTGTGCGTCACCTGTTCATCCTCCCTCCCCTCCCCTCCAGCCCCAGGAAACTCTGATCTTTTACTGTCTTCATAGTTTTGCCTGGAAAAGGAAATCTTATGAGAAGACCTTCTGCACGTGTCCCCTTGATCTTGTAAGTTTGGCAGCTGAAACAGTAAACATATGTACTTTCCCCCCCCACAGGACCTGGTTGGGGATCTGAAGGAGCAGCTTTCACATCACTTCAAAGAAGTGATGGTTGGCCTCATGTATCCACCACCATCTTATGATGCCCATGAACTCTGGCATGCCATGAAGGTAGTAATCGGATCCAGAAATACACCGACATAGGAACAGGCTGGTATTTCTAGAGGGGATACTGCCCTGTGATGCTCCCACATACACACCTGATTGAGGAGTGAGACGGGAGTAACTAAGCGATGATGTAACAGTGGAAATGTTGTGGTCAAGGGAAGTGACCTTGTTGGGAAGATGGAGCCTCCAGAGACCCGTGACAGGGCCCACCTGCTCTTTTGTTATACAAACTCCGATTTACTGAGCCAGCTCTAGGCTGAGCTACCAAAAGGAATGTGTAAATAAACCCCCAGGGCTATTCAGATTTGTCTCTCCTCAATAGATATATGGAGAAGAATGTGTTAAAAATCATGTGAATCTTTTTTACTTATTTGTAAAAATGTGGCGACATCAGAATAGGATATTGAATTGGAGACAATATATAAATGATACGTTTATTTTTATGACCTTAAGTTATTCCTTTACAAATATTTTTTTTGCTTTAATGCGTCAAATTTTACTTCTGAGAAATTAGACTAATTATTTCTTACAGGAAAATTATTTCCATAAAATAAATTAACTATGGATTTGTTACAGATTTTGTTGGCTAGGGGTGGGGAACAAAGTGGCCCTGTTACTTCTTTCCAAATACTGGTATTAAACACCTGTAGAACTGTTGAAATCACTCCAACATGTTTGCCAATGACCAGATCACTACAGTCTGTGAACACTGTGTGACAGGAAAGAGGCAACCGAAAAAAAATTAAGGGAATGTACATTTTGGCCATCATATTTACTGATCCGAATAGGCATTGTACAAAATTCATGTTTATTTTGATCAATCACTTTCAACACATGGCATATGTCAGTTCTTACCTCTTGCAAAATTATGTGTCTAAAAATTATCAAAATGAAGTCATGTGTTGCTGTTTAGATTAAACAAGTATATCTTATCAATATTTCATAGAATAGTAGGGCTGTCTGAGGCTTTTTAAAAAAAGCTGTGCTGTGTTTAAAATCACTGTCATAGACTAATATATGTACATGTCTGTAAGAGACGACAGAAAGCACCCATCTAAAGGTTCATGAAAACTGTACACAATTTCACATATAAGGAGCGGCGGGGACAGTTTCCAAAACATTCTTGGGAAATGAGAAGACCTATATTATAATTTCAGCTTGCTGTAGAGCTGATATTCCAGCAGCCGTCGGAATATCAAATTCCATTTCAGTAGCAAATGGAAATGCTTGGTGTCATGAGCATTGTTTAAACATGTCTTTTTCAACTCTGTTTAGAAATGTCCATCGTGCTGTATTTTAAACGGAGAAACAGAGTTTCTTTCAGATAATATTATCTCCTCAGGATCCAATAGCTAGTAAATGGCAGAGCCAGAACGGAGACTGCGCCTCCCTCTGTCCGCCCCCTCCCCACCTCTCACAACAGGAGGAATGCTGTATCCCTTTATTTTTCACAAAGGACACTATTTTCCCCAGTAAAAGAACCTTCATATTGCTCTCTTTTTTCCTTTTCCTAGGGAGTAGGCATTGACGAGAACTGCCTCATTGATATATTAGCTTCCAGAACAAATGGAGAAATTTTCCAGATGCGAGAAGCCTACTGCTTGCGTAAGAAAATATACACATGCGAATATATTTTGCACACATATGAACTTCATGTTTTTCAAGTAACACATAAGAATATTCTACATAACACAAAAATCATGTATTTTGAAGAGTTTCCTGAGACACCCCTACATTTGAATTATGACTCACTCAAGACTTATTAACTTATTAGGTAAAATTGATCTTGAGTGCACTCAAAATGAAACAGTTCCCTAGATAAAGTCAAGAAGATTTTTCCAGAGAAATACTTACAAGTCTCCATGAGGTGAATGTTTTTACCAAGACAAGAAAGCGTCCAGCACCTTCGTTCTGGGGCTATTTTATTTCTTACCCAGGAAAGACGCACAACAGGCAAAACAAAGCAAAGTACAATAATTACTCAGTGGATTCTACAAATATAGCTGTGTCACTTTACATTAATTTAATGATCCCTGTAATTTACCTCAAAATCAGATTTTTATACATTTCAAAGCAGAAAGAGTAACTATTTTCACTTTCAAAAAGGTTTAATGCCTAGTTTTATTGTATTATATATTATGTAACACTGACTGTTAAGAAAATGTTTCAGACAGTCACCACTATTGCCTTTGAGCAAAAGTAAGGCTTTTCCAAAGGAATGAAGTAAGAACCTTCACTTAAAATGTTAAAATGAAACAAAGCACTTGGAAAAATGCTGGGCTGGGCAGCAGTCTATGGAAAAAGAAAAATAATTATGAGGCAACCCCCTCGGATCCCCTCCCTCTGTGGGAGCTTCTCTGTCCTCTCAATAAATCCTGCTTTCTAAAAAAAAAAAAAACCAAAAGGAAAGAAAAATTATAATAATTTTAAGAATCAAAAAATGTGAAATGACTCTCAATTCTGCTTCTCAATTTTGGAATACAGATAATTTATTTTTCTTTAAAAAATAGACCTATACCCATGTCAGTCACCATGAGATGACTGATTTCTTTGGTGGTCAGTTTATTAACAAAGAAATGTCAACAAATTGACCCTATTTCCTGGACTTTCCCTTCACAACTTGGAAATGGCATGAACTTATTCAAAGCACATTGATACGCAGTTCTATAATAAATCATACCTTTAACATGGTTTCCTGTGCAGAATACAGCAATAACCTTCAAGAGGATATTTATTCAGAGACCTCCGGACACTTCAGAGATGCTCTCATGAACTTGGTCCAGGTATGGCATTCTAAAATCCGCATCATTTTGCACTGTTAAAAAATAGATGCATGTCATTTCCAAAAAATGGGACAGAAAACTCCAGCATATGACAGCACAACCATAAATTCTGTATAAAAACATTTACTGAATATCAGCCATGTTCAAAGCACTCAACTAGAAACTTGAGTTGGGTGTGAAGACAAGTATTGATAATGCGTCAGCTCTGTTCTAAAAAATTAAAAACCTGCCATACTTAAAATGATTATAAAATATACATATATGTATAAATAATTATATATTTCAGGGGAGTTAAAGGATTAAAAAATTAGTCATGACTTATAATTCTGATTAGAAATTAATTTCACCTTTAAGTTCTTTTCTGAGCTCCCACTGTGTGCCTAGTACTGTGTGAGAGGATAATCGTATTTCTCATTTAGTAACCATAAGCACTGTAATATGAATATTCTTATAAGCACTTCAGAAAAGCAGACACAGAGTCGAAAGCATAAGGTTCTAGCTCTCTGGTTGCCTAAAAAAGTTAATCAATAGAGATTCAGAACTTAATTGAATCTTCCAAACTCGAAGTGCCAGCATGTGATCCTTCGCCTCACCAGTAAAAATTCTGTGGGACTATACCTATTGCTCAAAAGGAACATCACTTCAAATTAAAATTAGATTTTGTCACACCTTATGTTTCTGTATGAACTACATTATATGTAATTATTTTCATTCGATTAATATTTCTTAAAACATCCCACATATTAGCATTGCAATGTGAATAATATTTCCTAAGACCCTCAGAAAGATATGATTATCTTTTGTTCAATGCATATTCTTGAGTATGCCTGTCATTCTATCGAGTAAAGGCATTCAGGAATGCAAGGACAAAGAGATTCAGTGTTCGGTTCTTAATTATTAAAAGAATCTAGAAGCCCACAGCTAGCGAAAATGTCTTAAAAGCCAATATTTTGGTTTGGTTTGACTTGGTTTGGCTGGATGTCATATGCATGTGTGTGTGCGTTTGAAATGAAAGAAGTTTCTAAATCTCCAAACCTTTATACATAAATAAAATTTCAACAAAACCTAGAAGCAGGCAGAATTTGGTACGTGAGAATGTGAAAGTAAGAAAAGGTTTCATTGCCTTTAAAGAAAAAAATAATAAATGAAAAGTTTTTTTAGTGAGAATTAAGTTGGAAGAATGGTGCCTATGACAGAGAAAAGATCCAGAGTCTTGAGAAAAGAGACTAGGGTGAGACTCCTTCCTAAGACCCTCAGAAACTCAGAGAACAAGATAAAAGTACATAACAGACCATTGTCTATTCTTTCTTTTCCCTGAACCACTTTGTGCCAGTTGTTGCCAATGAGTTCCTGAATTTGTTTGTAACCTAAACATTTCTGTGGCTATTGTTGGCAAACAAGAAATTCTTCCTTGTTCTTTATCCATCTTGGCTTTATCTGTGGCATGCAGGCAGTCCTCAGTCCCTGACTTTTCATTGCTTGACTTATGATTTATTGAGTCTACAATGGTGCAAAATTATTGCGGTTTTGACGTAACGGACAATAGTCTACAAATGACGTGAAATATTCAACACTTAACTGTAAAATAGACTTTGTGTTAGATGATTTTGCCCAAGAGGAGGCTAATGTAAGTGTTCTGAATATGTTTAAGGTGGGCTAGGTTAACGTATGATGTTTGATAGGTTGGATGTATTGAAGGCATTTTCGACCTGGGATTTTTCAGCTTACAATGAATTTTATTGGCAGATAATGCCACTGTCATTCGAGAAGCGTCTGCGTGTTCTCCTTGAGGGTTGTATCTCTTTCACAACTCAAATTTGACAAATTTAGAGGCCTAGCAGTTTACAACTTGAGGAGCCCATTTTTCTTTCATCAGGGTGTGTAAATGTCTTTGAAAATGAGAATCCTTAAAAAAATTTAGAAGAATTGTGATCTGCTTGCATTCAATTAGTTCCATATACCACCTAACCACAGGCAAAATTCTTTCCTGATACATTTCTCCAATGTGACTTACTTCTTTGCATCCTTGTAACCCCATTAATGCCTCTCTTTTTTTTCACAACCCAAAAACAATTTCTTGAAGACTGTCTCAGACAACAAAATTGACTGGTTCTTACCGCAGAACTGAGTCATAAAAAGCTCTTGCGTTTCAAACTCTGTTCAAGTCTCAGCTCACATTGCTTGAAATCAGTAAGTGATTTCCCTTTAGAATTCTTAGAGGGGTCAAATTTCTAAACTTTCCCTCTCTTCTCTTTAATTTCTGCTTGAAAACCAGCCAATTATTTACTGAGCTCATCTTTTTCTTATAATGCATGGCTAAAAGCATAAAGTAATAAACACCATTTCTCAAGCTCACAGGAATTCCAGGACAGGTGCTGCCGATCAAAGAGCACTCTACTCCACGAAGTGACTCAGAGACTCAGTCTCTTTCCACCTCCTCCCCTGGCTTTTTAGTTCATCTTGCCTGTCCTCAACCTGCAGAAGCAGAAGGACAATGGAGGATTGTTCTTGGGAGTTTTTAAGGACCTCCTTGCGATGCATGTTATTCTTGCTCAAATTTCATTGGCTAAACCTCCATCAAGTAACCCTACTTAATACCAAGGGTGGCAGCAAAATATAGTCCAGGTGTTTGTTTCAAAAAAGTGGAAACAAGTTTCACAATCAGTAATCAGTATGCATCGAAGCTGAAAAAGAGAACTGAACACTGCCACCAAGAAAAACAAATGGGCAACAGAAGATGGTAAGGTTGAAGATGTCTATGCCCATAAATTAAAACAAAAACTTACGTAGATGATTATATTAAACACAAAAAGAATTTCCAAAAGGGAAGCACATATAAGGAAAGGAAAAAAAATGCCATATATTCTTTCTTAAAGTACTTTAAAAAGGAAAATATCTTTGAGTTTTTAGCTATGCTTTATTTATTTATTTATTTTTGTACTTCAGGAAAAAACACAGTTCTGAAAATGAAACATGAGAGAAAATAAATCTCAAGGGAAAAAAACGATCAATGAACAATGACTTCCCTTGATGTAATAGGGCAATTGACCTTATTCGTAATTACTGTTTTTTTCCTGAAATTAAACAACGATGCTTTATTAGTGATAGGATGTGTATATGCGTGTATTTATATATATAATATTATTATTTGCGAAGACATTCACGTATTTTAAAGCAACACATGATAATTTATTTTCTCACTGATGTCACCTAATTTGGATTATGAATTTACACGATAAAGTATTGCTCCATTTTTTTCCAAGATGACACCAACTTAAGTTTCTCTTCTTATATATTCCATTAAAATTTTCAAAAAAGGTAGCCCATATAAATACAAAATATTGACTCTTTACAAGTTACATAAATATATAGGCCATATTTAACTTTGTTTCCTAGACTTTCTCCGCTTAAACAAAAATACAAAAAAGGCCAAATCGTGCCTACTGCAGACAAGATCACTGTTCTATTGATTGTGCTTTAAATGCAGAATTTTAGGCTTTTGTTTACCATATTAAGAGTAATTATCTTTTTTTAGTTTTATTTATTTAATTTTTTAAATTTTTAATATTAAAGATGTGGGGTACAATTCAGGGTTAGGTATACAAATGTCCATTATGCAAGTACCCTTGTTGATGAGATATGTCCCCATCACCTCCCCTGGTGGTTTCCCTTTTTTATAGTATTATGATAATTGTTCAACGTCCGCTTATGAATGAGAACATGTGATACTCAGTTCTTTGTTTCTGTGATAGATCACTCTGTATTATAGACTTTAAGTTCATCCAAGTGGCTACAAACTCAAGAGTAATGATATTAATAGAGTTTTTAATAGTATAACTCTCTCCTCCAAACCATGATCAAGACTTCTTTCAATCTGTGGTCCATAAGTATTTTTTCTTAAGCTTGATTTCTAGAGTTGGAACATTGAGAAGAGGGGAGGAGAGAGAGAGAGAGAGAGAGAGAGAGAGAGAGAGAGAGAGAGAATTGAACCTTAGAACACCTTTAAGTATAGTAAAATTTCCTTTTCAGTGTCGAATACCAAGAAGTGAGGGTGAAATCAAAACTTAGCTTTCATAAGAAGCCAAGGAAAATTAACAAAGTTTATTGTATTCTTGTGTGTTAAGATTCAGGTTTTGGCTCTGTAAATCAAGGGATGTGAGCTCATTTTTCTTCTTGTATTTCAATTTCTTCCCAATGCAAGTATTTTATAATTCTTCTGTTGCTATAACCAAGTTGTTATATCCAAGATGAAAGTGTGTCTTCACTTTCGGAATCAAAGGAAAGCTTGTCCGTGACTTTCATCTTTTTAACATCATTAAAATCCAGACGCATCCTTTTTTTTTTGAATTAATAGAGAATGGGGAATTGCAGCACAGGAAGTCTAAAGGTCTTTATGAAATGGAAAGTGTTGAAAATCATTGTCATATTTTCCAGGAGAGAAGATTTTTTTTACTTAATCTACAAGTGTTTCCTGACAGGACTGTTTCTTAGAAGGAAAAAACTGAGCTGGAACTTGTTCTTCTCGAAAACTAATGCCCATCATTAAACTGGCTTGCAACACTTCCTGCAGCTTCTATTACACGGATTTATGAAAGATCAAATTATCTGTCATATAATGAAAAATTAGTCACTTGAAGATTAATTAATCAATATGTGCAGATTGTACTAGAGATGATCAATGTTTTCAGAAAGACAAAGCATAAAACCTACCTAATTTGGTGCTTATTCCTTACCTTAGCTTTTAAAATTCCTCTTATGACAGTTTCTTAAACTTGTACAGTAAGGCCTCTGGGGATGCTATTGAAATCAGCTTTCAGTAATCATCTATAGTCAGTTAATCTGCTTCAAATATTTTCAACCAAATTGTTAGCATCCTTAATTACTTTTTTATCTGGTTCCCAGAACAAATTTTGTACTCATTTATTTATTTCTTTGACATTTACGTCAATTAAACTCACCGTGTGACTAATTTTGCTCATTACATTACAAAATCGGATTGACTCTGCTTTCCTGGAAAAAGCCAAATCATCAACTAACTTATTCAATTTCTAAACCCACCAGTCTTCTTAAAGTGCTCTTGAAAATTTACTGCATAGGAAAATAAACAGATGGGCACCAATTTAAGTTAACTGTCCATCTACTTTGGTCTTTGAAATCTGCTATCTAAAAGCTTTTTTTTTTTTTTTTAACTTTTCCAGTATGAATTTCTTGAACACCTACAATATGCCAAGCACAATTTTAGGTAATTGGAAATGACTGGTGAACAAAAGAGACAAAGATCTTAACCTTTAGGATGCTTACATGCCAGCAAGAGGATATGGACAATTAAACATAAATAGAATGCACAGGTATATGATATATAATGTTAGAAGGTGCAAAAAGCTATGGCAGAGGGAGAGGAAATGTAGGTCTGGGCACATTGGTCAGGTTGCAACCTTCTATAGGTTGGTCAGAGTAAGTCTCATTAAGAAGATGAGATTCGAGCAAGGGTTTGAATAAAAGAGTGAGCGAACAAACGGGTATGTATGATTGAATGTTCCAGGCAAAGGGTATAGCTAGAGAGGATGTCTAAGGCAGGAGAGTAGTTGGTTAGTATGAAGAATAACAAAGACTCGGTTGATGGCATCTGAACGAGTGAAGGAAACGTAGAGTAGTAGATGAGTAGATGAGGCTGGAGAAGTAGAAAGTGGTGATGAGATGATGTCAAACCCTGCAGGCATTATGAAGACTTTAGCTTTTACTCTAAGTGAAATGGGGAGAGGTAAGTCATTGCTGGCTTCCGAGTAAAGAAATGATGTGTTCTTATGCTTCAGAATAATCACAATAGATGCAATATTGAGAAAAGACCTCAGAGAAACAAGGGTAGAAACAACCCTGTAAGGAGACCACATCAGTAATAAAGTCAAGATCTATATGAGAGCACTGGTAGTAGTGAAAAGTACCCAGATTCTGGATGTATTTTGAAGGTAGTATCTATATGTGATTTCCTAAGGAACTGGATGTGGAATACAAAAAAAACCCCAAACAAAACAAAAAACAAAACACACACACACACACACACACACACAGAGAGAGAGAGAGAGAGAGAGAGAGAGAGAGAGAGAGAGAGAGAGAGAGAGAGAGAGAGAGAGAGAGAAAAGAATCAATGCTTTTGTCAGTGTTTGGTCTGAGCAATAGAAAGGAGAGAGTGCGATGGGAAACCTGAAATTATAAGAGGGTTTTAATGTGTAGTAAAACCAAGAATTGGATTTTGAGCATGCTGAATCTGTATGTAGACTAGAAAAATCAAACAGAGATGTTGAGTTGGCAATTGGAATACACGCATGTGAAGTGAAGTTCAGATAATAGATCTCAGCTATAGTTGTAAATTTGGGTATCATTACAATTTAGATGGAATTCAAAGCCAGATGAATAAATAAGCTTACCAAGAGAATGAGTATAAATACACATGAAAGATGATAAAAAACTAAGTACTGAGACCTTCCAAAATTAAGAGGTTGAAAAGTAAGGGGAACCAGTTCACAACATGGGGGAAAAACCGATGAAATAAAAGGAAAGAAAAAGAGATACAGGACCCTGCAGCCAAATGATGAAAGTCCAGCAAGAAGAGAATGTCAATTGCATAAAATCCTATTGGTAGATCAACCAAGATGAAGACTAAGAATGACCATGATATGTTACTACATAAATGGCCTACATATTCACAGAAGATATAGATATTGATTGCTTTCAGTTATTTGTTGCTTGGTCAAAGTTAAAACCATACAAGAGAATTTGAAAGGTGGCAGAGGAGATTGTCTGAAAATAAGTGTTTTTAGGAAGAGTATGGTAGATCAGAGAGCCAGATACCACTGAAATCTAACAGCCATTCTTCTCTAACAACCGGACTTTGGATGATTCACTTACTATCTCTAGGCCCATTTATTGTTTCTCCAAAGTAAGGACTGGAACTCCATGACCCCTAAGGTCCCTACATCCCAATACTTTCATGACTTGAAAATAAAATAGCACCCGTAGTCTTACCACTTAATAAAATGCTTTCCCTCTTTAAATGTAATGCACAGAGTTTAAAAATGAGAATTGCATATATGCACTCTTAGTCACTTAATATTTTAAGCCAAGAAAATTGAGAGGGCAGAGATGTATCTGACAGACTCCTGTCTATTCCCTCTCAGTTGTTCATCTTTAGATGACATTCAGTTTTTGATTAAACATATCAAATTTTCCAGGGCTACAAATTTACTCAAAACGTAGCTTATGTATTTCTCTATGAACAATTTGCACTTTCTCAATTGCCTCTAGATTTGGTTAGCAAGGAAAAAGCATTCATATTTAATCTAAAACGGTAAATTTAATCTGTTATACTTCGAACTGTCAGTGTGAGTACACGTTCAATCTTATACTTCCATTGGGTGGAGTACTCAACTCTCAGATTTCTAGCCATCTCTCCATCTCTACAAGAGGGCCCTTAGTGGAATGACGTGTATGTGGTTTCTGAGGTGACTTGGCAACAGGAAGGGTAGAGTGTCTTCAGATCATTAGGATATTTTCTGCATCTTTGCTGATCTTGAATGGAAGGCCCATTCGGAACTGTAACACATGAGATATTGATGCCAGGATGTGGGTGCTTCTCAGCATTGGCTACTCAAACTAACAGCTGGTTTCGCCTATGATCCTTTTTCTGACTCAGTTTGGTCAGAGTCAAGTAACCTTTTATAATGATTTAGACTTACCTTTACTCACAGAGTAGCTGAGGAAACCCCCTAAGGTCTCACACAGTTCTAGTCAATGTGCCCTTGGCTGTTGAAATACTTTGTCCCTGCCATGATCATAAACAACTCCATGTGGCAAGCTCCCCCACTAATTCTTAGCTAGGGTGCAAATCCCTGCATCAGAAGCAGATAGGATTCATGCTACTTAGGGACTGAGGTTAATTCAGGGGTGTTGTATTTAAGAACGTCCTCTGTCCAGTCTTGCTGTCTCACTGAATTTACTGCAATGTGGCCCTTTCTAGAGTCCTAAATGGTGATGGGGCGGAAGTCACTGTACCCTCAGTTCTCTCTCAGCATAGTTGGAGGGGAAAAAATGCCTCCCTGCAGATCTTGACCCAAAAGGAGGGGTTGAATAAACCGTCTGAGTTCCTGACAGAAGGAAGCTTAATGCTTTCCCTACCTCTTTCCTCCCTTCTTGACCTTCTAATCCTCAGGGTGGCCCTGTGTTGGTTAGCCCTCCTCCCCTCCTGTTTGACTGGACCATGTCTGTTCTTCACATGATAAAAGGGTGGGAGTGAAACTAATTTGCAAAGTATTCTCCCTCCACAAAATCTGTATTCCATGAGTATTTTGTTGTTGCATAATCCTACTTTGCAAGTCAGAGACAAACTTTCTCTGTGCAGTTTTCCTCAATGTCAAATCCCATTCCTACCACCCACTGCCAAATAGTGGATGCTCAGCTTGATGGAGGATAGGCTACTGCACAGAGACTTGGAAAAGTGAAAAAAACACCTCCATGGCCTTCAAAGATTACCACTGCTACCATGAAAAAGTAAACCAAAAGAAACACATTTAAAAAGCATAATATTGGCCGGGCACCATGGCTCACGCCTTGTCATCCTAACACTTTGAGAGGCGGAGGTGAGAGGATTGTCTGAGCCCAGGGGTTTGAGATCAGCCTAGGCAACTTGGCGAGCCTTTGTCTCTACAATAAATCACAAAGTTAGCTGGGCATGGTGTTGCACACCTGTAGTTCCAGCTACTTAGAAGACTGAGGTGGTAGGATCACTTGAGCCCAGCAGGTCGAGGTGGCGGTGGCTGTGAGCATGCCACTGCACTCCAGTCTAGGTGATGCAGTGAGACTCTGACTCAAAACAAAAACTAAGACAACAAACAAACAAACAAAAAACCCAAACCAAACCAAACCAAAAGGATTCAATATATGGAAACCGTCTTACTCCAAGGAATGACAGAACGTCTAGGAATGACCAGAGTGTTCAGTGGTTCAAGGATTTTTGTCCCACGAGTTCCATGCAGGTTGTCGAGTAAGAGCACTGACAAAGGAAACCTCTGCTTACTTTTCAGGGAACCAGAGAGGAAGGATACACAGACCCTGTTACTGCTGCTCAGGACGCGATGGTAACTAGAACCTGCTCTCCGCTGGGCCACAAAGACCCTTTGTGAAATGAGCTGGGGTGGTTCTGATGCTCCCTCCTGGCCGTGTGACGTTTCAGGTCCTGTGGGAAGCCTGCCAGCAGAAGACGGGGGAACATAAAACCATGCTGCAGATGATCCTGTGCAACAAGAGTTACCAGCAGCTGTGGCTGGGTAATCGCTGGCGGGGTTTCTTTCCAGTCATTCTATGGTGTTCTCATCCTCACTCGACGACAGGGTGAAAAGCAAGTTGTCACCTAGGAAAAAGGAGGACCCGTCACAAAGATAGACCACAGAGTCAGTTATCTCGCAGCACTTGCTTTGAGTTTTGTTTACACAGAATTGCTTCATTTAGTGACATTACCAAGGACGAACGTTTTCCCTGTTATTTCGTGTTTTCCAATAACTGAATTATGTGGATTTTTACATTTAAAAATTTTTCTGTTTTTGATAAGGAACTTACTCAAATATATTAGATATTTCCTAGCTACCAGCAGCTGTGGCTGGGTAATTGCTAACAGGGTTTCTTTCCAGCTATTCTGTGATGTAATACTCACTCGATTGTATAATAAAAAGCAAGTAGTCACCTAGGAAAAAGGAGGACATGTCACAAAGATAGACGGCAGAGTCAGTCATCTCAAAGCACTTGTTTTGAATTTTTTTTTACACAAAATTGCCTCATTTAGTGACACTACTGAGGAATGACATTTTCCCTATTATCTCATGTTTTCCAGTAACTGAATTATGCGATTTTAAAATAAGGAGCATTTAAAAATGTTTCTGCTTTTAATAAGGAACTTACTCAAATATATTGATTTTTCTATGTTGTCTTGAAAAGTATATAATGGCATTGCAAGGTGGCTCACACTTGTAATCCCAGCACTTTGGGAGGCAGAGGTGAGAGAATTGCCTGAGCCTGGGCACCATGGGAGAGACCTCATCTCTACAATTTTTTTTCCTTTGAGTTGGAGTCTCACTCTGTCGCCCAGACTGGAGTGCAGTGGCCGCTCCCGGCCACTGCAGCCTCAACCTGCTGGGATCCGGCGATCCTTCCGCCTCGGCCTTCCGAGTAGCTGGAATTACAGTCATACGCTACGACGCCCGGTTGCTTATTTATTTTTTTTATTTATTGTAGAGATGAGGTCTCACTGCCCAGGCAGGCCTCGAACCCGCGGGCTCAGGCAATCCACTCTCCTCAGCCTCCCAAAGGCGTGGGATTACAGGCTGAGCCACCGAGCCCATCTCATCTCTACAATTAAAAAAAAAAATTAACCAGGTGTGGTGGTGCACTTGTAGTGCCAGGTACTTGGCGAAAGGATCACCTGAGCCCAGCAGGTTAAGGCTGCAATAGCCATTAGCATGCCACTGCACTCCAGCCTGGGCAACAGAATGAAACGCCGACTCAGGAAAAAAAAGGATATAATGCACTTAATTTAATCAATCTATAATGTGTTAAGGTCATTATTATTGATGTGATGATTTATATGAAATCGAGAGTGCCTTATTGGTTTTAGAGAATGCACTCATATTAGTTTGCACTTTCCCCCAAACTACTGTATGTTTATTTTACCTTTATTAAAAAACCCATCTTTTCTTCTCTTTCTTAGAGACAGAGTCTCACTCTGTCCCCAGGCTGGAGTGCAGAGGTGCAATCATAGCTCACCGCAGCCTCAACTTCCTGGGTCCAAGGGGCCATCTTGCCTACCAGTACCTGGGTCTACAGGCATGTCCCACCATGCTAGGCTGACTCTTTTCTTGAGATAGAGTCTCACGATGTTGACCAGGCTGGTCTCAAACTCCTGGGCTCAAGTGATCTTCCCACCTCAGCTTCCCCAAAGTGTTAGGACTACATGCCGCATCAGACCCAAATAACTTTTTTTCCTATATAAAACACACAAAAGTCTATAAAAATTTTTGAAAGATGATCTACCCTAACCTAGCTTCCACCTCTATTCCTTATATGTCAGCTAGAGGTAATAATAATAATAATAACAAAAACATCTTCTTGTCTTTAATTTTCTGTAAGAATGGATGAGAACTAAAAGCTGCCTGGAATAAAGCCAGATAAGTAAGTTCTTGAAATAAGGAAACTTAATTTAGCACAAATCTAAATTGTCATACTATAGTCACCTGTAGGGAAAGGTGATTTCATATTTCTTAGAGTACCCTTCATAGATTTTACTACCACTATTTTAATTATCACTCAGAGAACTTTTAAACCTAATTCTCATATTTAAGGTCTAGTGGAGAGTTTGCTGTTGACATAAGTCTGGCTGACTATTATATATGTCCTGAACAAATGGTGCATAAAGAATGACTGGATGATTGGTTGTGTGCTTCCCCTGATTTTAAATCTGAATTGAGCTAGTGTGTCCCATTAGATAGACCTGGCAATTGTTTCCTAGGTCTTTGAAGTCCAAGATTTATGTTGAGTCTACTGACTTGGAGTGTTTGTATTTATTTCAAATAATAGTTATATCAAACATAACTGACAGTAGTCTTTTTAATTATTTTAGAGATCATATCTTCCTCAGGTATAGCAATCTAATAAATATTTGTACTTTAAATTTGTCATATTTACAAAATCCCCTTTGAATGATTTCAATTTGTCAAAGTTTTCCAGGAGTTTCAAAATATTTCTGGGCAAGACATTGTAGATGCCATTAATGAATGTTATGACGGATACTTTCAGGAGCTGCTAGTTGCAATTGGTAAGTAAATATTTATCTGGAGTATAGCAGACCTTTTATTCCACAATAAATGCTGCCTGAATCTGACTGAATTAAAGGTGCATGAATAAGCTTTGATCAAGTCACTTTCCCTGAATTGTATTTTTTAAAAGGATGTAAACGCAACAGAGGAAGAATACATCAGTTGCTGATACAGTGTGTTAAACTGTCAGCCTGATGACTTTATTTACTTATTTATTTTTTGAGTTAGAGTCTCACTCTTGTCGCCCAAGCTGGAGTGCAGTGGCACGCTCACAGCCACTACAGCTTCGACCTGCTGGGCTCAGGCGATCTTTCCACCTGATCCTTCCAAGTAGCTGGAACTACAGACACGTGACCAAGCCTGGCTAGTTTTTTGTAATTTATTGTAGGGATGCGGTCTCACCAAGTTGCCCAGGCTGGTCTCCAGCCCCCGGGCTCAGGCAGTCCTCTTGCCTCGGCCTCCCAAAGTGCTGGGATGACAGGCTGAACCACCGCAGGAGGGAACGAGAGGTATGGCACTTTCACAATAGCCTAAAGAAATCACCACTAAGAAACAAGGTAAGTCTCTTTTACGGTAGGATTTACTCCTGCAAACAAATGTATTAGAGATGGAGACAAAAACAAAAACCAAGCCTTTTTCTCTAGGAGAGAAAGAAATCACATGGCTGGCGTGTTTCTGCTCCTGAACAAGGAAGTGGAAGTCAGGAAATATAAAACTGATCAAATAGTTTGAGAACCAAATTCCTGAGAGAGAGAGAGCATCTGGGAATTCTGTTTCTTCACATGAAAGTTGAAGCAGCTGTTAGGAAAGCGTGTCATTTCATTAAAGTCAGACTTTCTCTCAGGATTTAGGTTCTCACACTATTGGATCAGTTTTCTATTTACCGACTTCCATTCCCTTGTTCAGGAGCAGACATCACCAGTCATGTGATTTCTTTCTCTCCTAGAGAAAAAGGCTTGGTTTTTGTTTTGGTCACCATCTCCAATACATTTGTTTTCAGGAGTAAATCCTACCGTAAAAGAGATTTACTTTGTTTCTTAGTGGTGATTTCTTCAGGCTATTGTGAAAGTGCCACACCTCCCATTTCTTCCTATATAAGAAAAGACATCCTTTCACAGAGGGAAAAACAGCAGCAGTTATTCATGAAAACTACAATGGAAACACCTGTGCTTTATCTTGTGTCGTGCTGTGACTTGACAGCATACATTTCGGGGACTACAAAGGAGGAATCATAAAATATCCCCATAGCAAATATGCATCAAGTGGTCACTTAGACACTTGTTAAATAAATGAATATTGTGGCTTGTCGTTCCTGGAATGGCAGAGACATCCATGGGCGTGAGAGCTAAGAAATAAGATAATTTTATAGATTGTCTAGTAAAGGAGTTTTAAGCTAGGGTTCCATGAAAATGGTTTGGTGGAACCCCTAAAATAGTCTATATCTGTGTTTTTCTGAGAATAAGGTGCGTCTATTCCAGTAAATTCTCAGTAAAATTTAATAACGGTACGTCGAAGCCCTCATTTTACAAACAAAGCCTAGGGAGGGTGAGTGCGCCAAAACCTATCAACTTACGATCAAAAGTTAAGACTAGAACTCATGTCATCAGAATCTCAAGAGTTCTCTTTCCACTATCAACCCCTGATACGATGCAATGGGCAAGCGAGAGGAAATAGAAGACGTCAGAAATACCTGAAAACATCTTCACCGCTTCGTTCATTCATTTAATTAACATCTTTTGAGCATCTACTGTGCTGGCCACTGATTTAGGAACTGTGGGTAGAACAGTGAAGCAATGACAAAAACAACAGAAGTCCCTGCTTTCAAGGAGCAGTGACTGAAGAGTGATTATGGGGTTCACTGCGGGCTCCTGGGAAAATTCTACGATGATGATTTAATTTTGGCTAAAAGCTACGGCATCTCATACGTTATTCATTCATGTATTGAGTTGTGTACTTATTCACATAAACACTATGGAATGTCTACTACCGTCAACTGATTTTCATCAAGGACAACTGTCGGCCAGGCTCTAGGTTGTTCTAATGCCACAGTGGTTTTGATTAGATAACTTCTAAAACTGGTCTAGAGTTAGGGTTCATACAGTGTCTCCTTAAGAGACTTCAGATCTACTCACAAATCTATAAGAGACTAAAACTAGCATTTAAGAAGATGAATGAATCACGTGGGGGAAGACGTCACATTGAATCCTACAATAATAAAAATCTAAACAGTAGTGAAACTGACATCTCTTTGAAGCTCTATTTATTTAATTTTCAGATTAAGAGGATAAATTTTTTTCACTAGTATAGATGAAGGAACTAGCAGAAATAGAAAGCGATAGAAATAGACCAAGTGGGCTGGGCACGGTGACTCACGCCTGTAATCCCAGCACTTTGAGAGGTGGAGGTGAGAGGGTTGCCTGAACCCACGGATTCGAGACCAGCCTGGGCGATGTGGCGAGACCTTGTCTCTACAATAAATAAAAAAATTAGTTGGGTGTGATGGCGCACACCTGTAATTCCAGATACTAGGAAGGCTGAGGTGAAAGGGTCACTTGAACCCAGCAGGTTGAAGCTTCGCTGGCCGTGAGCATGCCACTGCACTCCAGCCTGGGCAGCAGAGTGAGACTTCATTTAAAAAAAAAAAAAAAAGAAAGAAAGAAAAAGAAAGAAATAGACCAAGTGAAAAATCTCCATGATTAAAATATTGTTGCTTTGTGATTTTTTCTGTGGGTTATGGTGCTACCATTTTTATCATTGTTGACATTATAATGTGAGGATTGTAATAGAAAGAAAGGTTCTCATTGTTTCTCAGATTCTGAATAAAACAAATATTGTCTCCCTTAATGTTTCTTTTCTCTCTGATTTCTCCTAGTTCTCTGTGTTCGTGACAAACCAGGCTATTTTGCTTATAGATTATATAGTGCAATCCATGTAAGTAAGATCCATATATTTTAAACATTTCTCCTCAAATTGTGTCTGTATTTTCCAAGGACTAATTTAACTTTCTCTATTTAAATATTCATTCCTATTTTTGAACTTGTATGTAAATACATACATTTCAAAGAAAATATGCCCAAGTGAAAAAATGTGTTATACACCAAAAATAAGACCCATCGAATAAAAATTATGCTCTACTTCCTGTACCAAATTTAGGTGGTTAAGAAGTATGGCTCTTTGGGGTCTATCTCCCCCATATGTTGTGTGTGTGTGTGTGTGTATGTGTGTGTGTGTTTTAGCATTTTTTAGCATTTGCAGAAATGGGTACATTCAAATGTTTTTGTATATTTACAAAGATCCTCACATCAGACTTATGCAAATGCAAAACACATGGCATCAAGCAGAAAATGTCAAACATTACAAACTCCCAGTAAGAAATCGCTGTATTCCTGAAGTTTAAAAACACAAAATAATGTCAATGGTTATTTTTAAACATCAAGTGTTATTTTAAAAAATTACTTAAAGAGATAACCAAACAACAGTAAACTCTAAATCTATTTTTTGTAATTAGAAGATAATTTTTTTTTTTTTTTACTTTAGTGTGATTTTCAGTCACACATATTTTGGAGCGTTCTTATTTAAATAAAAACAAACACTTAAGTGCATCCCATAATGCACACCTTATCCATATGTGCATGAAACCTACTTAGAAAAAGATCTCGACTGGTTGCAGTGGCTTACGCCTGTAATCCCAGCACTTTGGGAGACCAGGGTGAGAGGATTGCCTGAGCCCAGGGGTTCAAGACCAGCCTGGGCAACTTGGTGAGACCGCATCTTTGCTATGAATCAAAAATTAGCCAGGCGTGGTAGTGCACGCTTGTAGTTCCAGCTACTTTGAAGGCTGAGGAGAAAGGGTCGCTGGAGCCCAGCAGGTCGAGGCTGTGGTGGCCATGAGCATGCCACTGCTCTCCAGCCTGGGCGATGGAGTGAGACTCCGACTTAAAAAGAAAAAGATCTCATATACATCATTCTATACATGTCATAGCCTTATAAACTCAGAGAAAATTATAAAAACAAATCAAAAGTACAGTAACTTTAAGAATCAGTTTTTTATCTTCAATGTAATTTTCACAGACCAATTTCTTAAAAGGTAGTCAGTATGCTGGGAAAATATGCTAATAGTAAGAATATTTTATTATATGTCTTGTGCAAAGTGTTTTCTAAAGTTTTTGCACAAGAAGAACTGTGTAACTTCAAGAAACAGGAGGAAAATCAATGTTCATAATCTTCTCTTTTATTCTGTTTGCAAGGAGAAAAATTGATTTGGTTACACATTTATTTGAAATAGTATATTGAGCAAAGCTGTTGGATGATTGCAGTAGTTTTTTCCTCCAAAAATCAACCACTGCAACAGCGGAATGCTTGAAGTTTCACTTTAAAATGATGAAAAAAAATCACAATTACCCTGATTCTAATTATGCGCAAATCCAAGGCTACCTATTCTAATAACAAATAAAAATGTTATCCTCACTGTGTGTACAGTAAAAGGCAAAAGGAAGATCTGTGTACTCACAAACAGCTTAGAGGTAAAGAGAAGGATTATATGTACAAGTAATCAAATTTTTGAGGACCTTGAATGTTAAATATTTGTCAAAAAACCGTTGTGACCACCCTTACCAAATAAATCTTCTGTATTTTTCTGAAGTGCACTCTAAGTGAATAATTTACAATTTCAATTTGGATACTTAGTTAGATCATTCATTTTAATAATCTCAAATTAGGAAAAGTTTGTTAGTAGATCTGAGCCCAAACATCGACATCGAAAATTAGACTATGTTTTCTGGCCGCTAGATGTCACCTTTACTCCATTTGAAAAGGTAATTTGAAACTTTTTAAGCAGTAATATTTTGGGGGCCAGTGCATTGGCATTGATTTTGCATTTTTAATTTAAATCAGAAATATTTGAAACACCTAGAATTCTAATTTTTGTAACTTTTCAATAGTGACCAGACTATAAAATGAAAATATTATTGCTGTCTTTCTCAGACATATCAACTTTCATCTGAGTTCAGAATGTCTTCCCCCCAGGACGAATTTTTTACCTAGAAAGACCACATGGCCAGATTTGCACTTTATAAAGCAGCGTGGAGGAGGCAGTGTGAAGGTCAACAAGGCTGAAAAAAGGGAGAAAGCATTGAGAATCAGGGTGACATTATAAGGGCACTGGACTAGAGATGACAAGGCATTTAAGAAGTAAAATAGATGAGAATAATTCATTGTAAGAAGGCAGCGAGGGAAAGGGAGACGTCACAGAGGTGATTCTCGGGATGTGACTTGGATGCTGTGTGGACAGTGATGTCCGTGTTCGAAGACAGGAAGAAGAGCAAGGGCTACAGAAAAGGGATGTGTCCACTTGGGACAGGCTGACTTTAAGGTACTATCTTCTGAGTTCCTCTCTCTTCTGTATCTTTTAGGACTTGGGTTTCCATAATAAAACTATAATCAGGATTTTAATTGCCAGAAGTGAAATAGACCTGCTGACCATAAGGAAACGATACAAAGAGAGATATGGAAAATCCCTATTTCATGATATCAAAGTAAGTCTTCTATACGTTTTATCCTTTTTGAAACGGAGATAAAAGCTTTCGTTGAAATAAACTCATGGTAGAGCTTGAAAGTTAAATGACAGGGATAATCTACTTTAGTCCTTGGCCTTTAGAACATCAGCAGGTGCTAACTTAGAAAAGCCTGTCACCTCTGCAACAGAACCTATTTCCCTTTGATGTGTTTTAAGCAAAAGCATTGATGAAGTCATGCAAAATATTCATTCTCTGTAGTAGCTGGGTTTTAAGCTAAATTCCAAAATATGACCAGACTAAGGAAAACATTTTGCATCAAGACTACTTTCAATTTGAAGAGGTTTCTTAGATAAGTTCAGTTTTCCTTTCATACTGTCATAAAGGGCAGGGCAACTGGTTAAAGACCATAAACCGGTAATTTGAAGGATTTTAACGTTATTAGTTATGTGGGATTCTATGTGTTCCTTATTCTTTTAGTCTTTAAGGGCAAAGAAGCAATGATTTACTATTGAACAAACCCATTTCTTCATTCTAATTCTTTTAAACTTCTAGATTTTGATGAAATTTTGCAGAAAGTTATCAGAACATATAGGACCATCTATGTAATTTTGAGGGCCTAGTAGAAAATAAAAATGCTTGGTCTCTTGATAGATGATTAGTAGATAGATAGATAATAGATATATAGATGATAGCTAGCTAGATGATGATAGATAGATGATGATAGAGAGCTAGAAAGAATTTCAAGATGGTGACAGCAGAGCATTAAACCAAGGACCTGAGAATATATTTTAACTTATACTCTGCGCGTAGCTTAGTGCTGTTACCTTGTTCACATTATTTTCAACCAAAATTCTTAATTGCGAAAAATAGCTTTTAGTTTATTGAAAAATGATCCAGAAGTGACTTAACAACCTAAGGACCAAGAGAACACACAATACAGAAGATCTTGTAGATCCTTGGGGAGTTGAAGTGTTTCCAAGAGGAAGAGTTAGTGGGGTAGTTAAGAGAAGTCTTAGTTCTTGTCTTTGATAAAACTCTCCTGATATCCACCTTCAAAATCCTGAACTCTTTTAGTAATAGTAAGCATTTCCTATTGAGAAATGTGAGTTATAACTCACTTTCCAAATGAATAAATTTGTTCTTATATAATTTATTCATCACTTACTATAATTAATCACAACCACCTCAAAGTGCACTAATACTTATAAATATATAATGCAACTTTACTATGTGCGTTTAAAGCCATGAATTATAATTACATGACATTTTGTAAGAGAGCATGAATACGATAGTTGATTTTTAACACATGTGAATCTTATAAGAACATTTATTTATTAGTATCGTTGTTTTTGAAAAATGTAGAAATTATAGAAAATAAAAATAGCCCTGATTCGTCCACCACAGATAGCCAGTAATGAAATTTTATTCTCCTTTGGTTTGAGTGTTTATGTCCCTACAAAATGTTATGTGCGAAAATCCCCAAGATTATAGTATTAGGAGTTGGGGTCTTTGGGAAGTGATGAGCTCATAAAGCTGGAGCCCATGAACGAGCTTAGTGTCCTTATAAAATAGACCCAAGAAAGCACCTTTGTCTCTTCTGTCATGTGAGGTTAGAGAGAGAAGAAGGCTGTATGAGAAAGCCGTCCCTAGCAGACACCAAGTCTGCTGGTGCCTTGATCTTGACCTTGCTAACCTCAGAGCTGCGAGAAGTAAATTTCTGTTGTTATAAGCCACCCACCTTATAGTATTTTATTATAGCAGCCTGAATGGACTAAGACAGGTGCTTTTCAGTCTTTATCTAAAAATACATAAGTAATAGGTTTTGCTGCCCAAAGAAATATTTTCACTGGATCACGGTATACCATTGCATAAACTGTAAAGTACATAACCTAGCTCAAATTATTTATATGTTGCTTTTCAGTTTTTCACTGTTATACATAATATCACTGTGTACCTATTTTTGCCATAAATCTTTGTGCTCATTAATAATTGATAACTTTCTTAAGATATATTTCTTGAGGCAGAATTAGTGCATTCGTAAGTATAAACATTTAAAAATATTTTGAGACATATTGTCAATTTGCTGTCTGCACTCTACACTGACATAATAAACGTTGCAAATATAATTATTTGTAAATATCATTTAAATATATTACATAAATATAACATTATAAATTATTAGGGCACTTTCTTCTAAAGTTGAGAAGAAGATTTAATCCTAAGGTAAGTTATTGTTCTTATGAATACACATTAAGGCTCAATCAACTTAATCTAAACCACATGCTGCCTGACTAAAATCAGAGTATTATTTTTAATAACTTTCACTGGAAATAGTGGTTAGGAAATATTAAATATTTATTTTTATTTGTTTTCCAATTTCTGTGGCTTTTCTTTTGAAATGTTAAATATTTAGATGAGAAAAGTAAATAATTTTGGAAAGACTAACGGTTACTGTCCCTTTCATAGTGCATTTCAGAGGAATAATGTTTCTTTTTTAGAAATGCCATGCCACTTTATTTTAAATACATTATATTTTCTCTTTTCAGAATTTTGCTTCAGGGCATTATGAAAAAGCACTACTCTCCATCTGTGCTGGTGATGCTGGAGACTACTAAGGATTTGATGGACAATGCACTCTTCTTTATAGACACATCTAATTAGAGATTTTCTGATAAATTGGTGCTGTTAGTAGCACTACAACAAAGCTATAGAATCATATTTTCTCTTCTATCTTTGAAATTATTCCAAGCAAAAAACCTATTCATGAAAGTATATGACACTTGATTTTCCTGCTATCTAATCAGCAATTAAATACATTATGCATAATAGAATAATAAATCAATGCATTGGAATCGATTTTATTTAAATGTGAACCATCAACACCTTATAACAAGAGAGTCTGTTCAAGTCTGTCTTTAGCATGATTTGGGAGACCAAGGAAAATACAGTAGTGCATGACCATCCTCCTTAGAGGAACTTTCAAGACTCTTGTGCAAATACAATAAGGTTAACGTGAACACCTAAAGCAGGTTTTAAACGAAAACAAAGACACAAAACAGCAAAATGCATCTAGGTATATGCTTGCCTGGATTAGATGTGCAAGAGTCTTGAGTGTAAAAAGAGAGAGAGAGAATGGGAGGGAGAGGACTCCCAATCTAAGCCAAGGTACACACACAAACCTCTGTACCACAGAGGGAGAAAGAGAGAGAGAGAGAGAGAGAGAGAGTGCATGCATGCATGTGTGTGTATTTTTTTTTTTTTTGAGTTGGAGTCTCACTCTGTCACCCAGGTTGGAGTGCAGTGGTGCACTCACAGCCACCCCAACATCGACCTGCTGGGCTCCGGTGAAACTTCTGTCTCAGTCTTCCAAGTAGCTGGAAATACAGGCATGCACTACCATGCCTGACTAATTTTTGATTTATTGTAGAGACATCTCGCCAAGTTCCCCGGGCTAGTCTTGAACCTGCGGGCTCAGACAATACACTTACCTTGGCTTCCCAAAGTGCTGGGATGACAGGTTGAGCCACCGAACCTGGCCCTGAGTATATTTGACAGCCACTCTGGTAAAGGCAATTTGTCTCCAGCTAGGTTTTTTTGGTGTCAGTTCCTAACCACCCACTTGCCCAAGCTATGCCTGAAAAGTCATTGCTGTCCATTTTGGTCTTCACTTCTTAACATCAGCATAAGAGACTTTTTGGAAGGTATTATATGCTTTGTGCCATCAATTGAGCATGGTCTTTTCCATCTCCCAAGATTCAGCTAATTAAAAGTGACAAAGAAAAAATACTCACCTGAGATCAGATTTAGGGGAGAACCTATATTGATGCCACCATCTAGCCAGGAATGAAAGCAGAGACAGGATGGGTAAATGTACCACAGAGGACTCCCAATCTAAGCCAAGGTACACACACAAACCAAGATCATAGGAAGCAGTGGCTAGTGAAGTCAGACAAGGCACTCACTCTGGATAAATAAACTGGTGAAGGCAATGGAAATGCTTAATTCTACACAAAAGCTTTTCCAGTAGCATATGGTCAGGACACTTCCTGTGTGTCTATTTCTACCCGTCTACAGCGGAAAATATTTTCTCGGAACATAGTGTCTGACAGGAGGAATGAAACAGGACACTTAGAGCACAGGGAATGGACACAACATAAGACTTTTAAGGATGGTTAGGCTTCTAAAATCACTTTCAAGAGTTCAACTTACTGTGATTGCATACGATGCTATTTTAAACTGGGTTTAATTTCTGCCATAAAAATATCACTGTCCATCTTTCAAGCCAAAAATGTAATTGTTTGAGACATTTAGCACAGGTGTTACTTTTGCCAGCTAAAATTCTTACAGAAAAAAAAAATGTGGTGAGAATCCCTTTTAAGAATTTCGATATTAAAAAAATACTTTCTTCACCGTGATGTCTTTCTACAAGTGTTCGATAATTATGAAATCTATACATGTGCTAGGTAGTACGCTTTATTTCTTTGGCACAGCATCAGGTAAAAATAATCAGACTTAAGAAAGAGGAGAGAGACTTTATTTAAAAGACTGTTGTAATGGGGGAGAGGGGATATTTCAATGGGGCAGTTTTCCAGAGAGCTGGTTAAGGATGTCTGTTCAGCTGAAGCTCACTCTGAAGGTGAACCAAAGTTCAGCTGTAGGAAAAAATAAGGCTGACTAATATCAGGGCAATTCAATGGTTCTTATGTCCAGATGGGTCAGTGGAGGGAAGGAGCTCAGCCAATCACTTAGGAGACAGAGAATGGGAATTTGGAGGGTATGCTTGGCATTGCCATAGAAAAGCAAGAGGATAATCAGAAAGTCTTATCTAAGTCATATGAGAAAGAGTGGTTCTTACAAAGCTATTTGTGAGCCATTTCCTGAAGCAAAAAAAGATGTGTGTGTGTGTGTGTGTGTGTGTGTGTGTGTGTGTGTGTGTGTGTGTGTGTGTGTATGGCGGGGAGGGGGGCTTGCGGGGACAGCAGGGAGGGTGGGGCGAGTATTCTTGACTATCTCTGTTTTCCAGGAGCACAGTACTTGGGTAAAGGTTAACGTTGGTCATTTTTTCCCAAAGGTTTCTGTTGAATGCTTCACTTAGTTGTTTGAATGCCAATACAAAGTTGTCATTTTCATCAGCACACAATTCACTTCGTGAAATCCTGTAAGAAATTAAGTGTTTACATTATCACTGTCACCTGTGCTTATCTGGTGATATAATGTTCAAGTGCAGAAAAGCTTACTGTACCTGATGGACTGAGTGGCAACTGCGAAGTCTCTGATTAGATGAACAGCATCTCCATACTTAACCTACAGAAAAAAAGGCAGTAACATATAAGGTAATACACTTTTTTGGTGTGTGTGTGTGCTCCCAGACTAAAGTAAAATAAGTCATACACAACAACTGAATTGCTGGTCCTTTTGGAGACAGAATAAAACCAGCTATGGAAGTACAGCCAAGAAGTGATCGTGTCCTTTGCATTCAGTATTTTACTCTTGTCAGCTTAGCCCTTGGTTGACCAGACTAGTAAAGACGCTAATCATTTAGCAAAGCAAATTGCAACTTTTAGTGCTCTTGTACATTACCACCTTAATATTTCCAAAACTAAATATTTCACACACATTAAAAATAGTGCCAAATATGGGTGATGCCAGTGAAGATGGCAGAGTAGACAGTTCCAATGGCTTGTCTCTCTGCAGAGACATTTAAAAAAAAAAATCAAGCAAAAACTGTAAGAATCAACTTTGTCAAGCTCTGGAAAATAGCCAAAGGTTAAACTCTGAATCATAAAAAAGTAGGAACATTTTGTGGCATGATTTTATTTTCCCATTCTTTACCCCACCCAGCTCAGGGGCAGTCTTAAAGAGAGCCGTTTGTTTTCAGTGTGGGACCTTGGTCTCTGTTTCCAGAGAGAGCAGAGCTGACGTCATTAACAAGAACGTGTTTGTCTTTCTGTTCTAATGGGTCTGGGGGCTGCCTAGAGAGCTGAAATGAGCTTGTCTTTGTTTTGCCTAAGTCAGAACTCACTCAGCAGTCGTAGGCATTCCTTGAAGACATTGTGAGGCAAAAGAACAACCTGCAGCTGGCTGGTACAAGAGATTACAGTTGAGGCAAATAGTAGGGTACTGGAAACTGGAGAGGAAAAACTGGAAGAGAGTTTGTTTGAGAATAAAGGACATTTAAAGCACCAGTGAGTACTGGGAATTTTAAATACTTGCACACACTTAGGGCAAAGCTCATGCTCAGAAAAGACCTCAGAAGACCCTGAGCTTTCACCTCTAACAGATGTCTAGAAATAGTGCAAGCAGGAAGTGAAGGGTAAGGCAATTGTAAATGACCTGAAGAAATGTTGAAAGGTGTGCTCCAGCCCAGAACCAATTGACAAAGAGTGGGAGAATTTTTTCTTCACTTTTATTTCTCCTCCTCCCGCTGTCTCAATCTCCCCCCGACTCTCTCTCTGACTCTCTCTCTCTCTCTCTCTTTGTCCCTCTCTGTCTCTCTCTCTCTCCCTTTATATTCAAAGAAATCTCTGTAAAAATGCTGCAGTGGTTGTGAGTGTGCCACTGCACTCCAGGCTAGGCAACAGAGTGAGACTCCTCCTCAAAAAACAAAAACAAAAACAAAAAAAATAAAAAAACACTAGGTCAACATAAACTTAAAAAAAACTTCAGAGACTACTATGACAAAGAATACAAACTTTATGAAAATAGTTTAGTAAAGTCACTAAACAAACAGCCAACAGTAGACAATTAGGAAATAAAACCAAACCTGAAAAGGAAGAAAAATATTGTTTCCATAATTACCACATTGTGATACTAAAAATGAACAGTTTTCAAATAAAAATTTATAAAGCATAAAAAGAAACAAGAAAGTATGCCCATTGACAGAAACTACCTCTGAGAAAACACAGATATTGGGCTATTAGACAAAAATTTTAATTGTCTTAACTTTGCCTAATGAGTTCAAATAAATCATGGGCAAAAAGCAAAATAAATCAGGAGAATTACGTATGAACAAATAGAGCATATCAACAAAGAGATAGAAATTATGAAAGGAATCAAGCAGAAATTCTGGAGCTGAAAAATACAAAACAGAAACGAAAAAACCAGAAGAGTTTCAACAGCAAACTTAAGCGGGCTGGAGAAAGAATCTGCAAACTTGTAGATAGTCCATTGAAATTAACTACTTTAAAGAGTAGAAATTTTAAAAAATAAAAACAGAAAAATTAATAGAGCCCAAGAGACCTATGGAGTACTGTCAAGCCTACCAACATATGCATGATAAGAATATCAGGTGAATCTGAGATGAATCTGAAGGTGAATTAAAGTTCAGTTGTAGGAAAAAATAAGCCCGACTAATGTCTGGGCAATTCAATTGGTAATGTGACCAGACTGGTCAGTGGAGGAAAAGAACTCAACTAATCACTTATGAGACAATGGATGGAACAATAATCACTCTTTCTCATGACTTGGCTAAGACTTTCAGATTACCCTCTTGCTTTCTATAGCAATGCCTCACACACCCTCCAAATTCCCATTCATTTGTCAAAATAATGTTTGAAGAAATAATAGTCAAAATTTCCCCAAAGTTGAAAAAAGACACAAATCTACACATTCAAGAAACTCAGTGAACTCCAAGAAGGATAAATGCAAAGGCATCCACAGCAAGACACAGTATATAGAATGATTGAAAACTATAGAAAAATAGAGTCTTTAAAGCAGCAGGCAAGATGTAAGATTTCAATAAAATAAAGAACAGATATCTCATCAGAAACTATGGAGGCCAGAAGGGAGTGAGGTGACATTTTAAAAATAATTAAAGAAAAAAACTATCAATCAATA